CTTCATGAGTCCAAAATCTCCAATTTTCAATGAATTTTCATCTGTTACAAAAATATTTTGAGGTTTCAAATCTCTAAATTTCGAATATAATCAAAAATACTATTCTAATTTCCTTACCTATGCATTAAATTTCTCTCATGCAAATAATCAATTCCCTCAGCAATCTGCCTCATAAATTCCAAAATCTCACTCGTACTCAGCAATTGTTTCTCTTTCGTACATCTCCTCTTTAGGAAAACACTAAAATCTCCATTTTTGTAATATTCCATCACTAAATTAACATTGTAACATTCCATCCCATGGAAATCAATCTTTTCAAAGTAAATATCCTTGATGGAACACAAACTTTCATGATCTAACTTTCTCAATGGCCAAGCTTCCTATTTCAAGTTCCAAACAATTGATTTATAATTTTTTAATGGGAATTTAAATTTAAATTATTATATTCGAAAGTTAATATTGTGATATTGATATCGTATAAATGATGGAAAACATACTTTCATGGCAATATTAAAATCATACTCATCTTTACAGAGAATTTGCTTGATGGCAACTTGTTCTTCCGTTGTTGGGTTTAAAGCTAAAACAACAAGTCCCGAGGCTCCTTTACCTAATTCCTTGATTATTCGATAGGATGAAGAAGTGGATGAAGATGTGGAAGAAGGGTTTTGACTCTCCATTTTTTTTTGCTATTTAAACATGTTTAAAGAACCAGAGATTCGAATAGGATTCGGCTGAAAGTAGTCGAATCATTTCGCATAGTCTTTCTTCGAACAGTAATGAAATTCTTCAATAATTCTAATAATCCGAATTTATACTATTAATTTTCTCTTGTTCCCTACTAATGGAAAGTGAAACTGCTGCAATTCTATCATTGGATATTTGAATATCCTCCTTCAATGTTCCTATTCGAAACACTTCTCTCGTTGTTTGAATAATAAATGCACAATCATTTCTATCCTGAATAAGACTCTGAAGTGTTCGTTTAAATTTGTTCCTTCTTGATAATGTTGCTGCACAGTGTGATTTTTTCAATCTTTTAATTCGTTTAATTGTCACTTTACAATCCCTAATAGACGAAACATTATCTATATTCGAAATTGAACTAATTTGACATTGTCTGCTGGCTTGTTGATCGTAATTTAGTGTTAATCGAGTCCAAAAATTGAGAGATTGTTCTGTGATTTTATTGATGGCGTGATTGAGTTGGAAAATATTCCTTGCCTGATTCAATGTGAGAAAGGAAAAGACGATCAGCAGAGTTTCATTGTCAAGTTGGAGAAGAGACATTTTTTTTGTAAAGTTACAATGGCTAGCATGAAATTTGCTCTATCGGATTCGTCTGTAGTTTAGAATAGCGCCCGATATGTTCAATCGCCAACACAACTACAAAAAAAAATGCAAAAAGGTAAAGCTTACAATGTTCCTTAATATTTAAAAAAAAATCAAAAAAAAATTCTCAAAGGCTTTTCAGATTCCAAGCGAAAAAGAATTTCCTTCCAAGATGATGACGATGACGATGATGATGAAGAAGAAATTATTCTCGGAGATGAAGATTCATCAGAAAATGATGATGAACAAGATGATGATCATGAAGAAAAAAGCCTCGATGATCATGATCGGGTGGTGAATAAGAAGATGAAGAAGAAGACACAAATGAATTCAACACCTCCACTACAATTAATTGAACAAATGAATAAGAAGAGAAAGATGAGCCTTTCGCAATTTACTTCAGAATTGGAGAAACGAATTGAGAGTGGAGAGTTGGAGAGGGAGGCTCGAAAATATGTTCAATCAATTAGTATGGAAGAGAAGAAGAATTCAATAAGGAATAATGCAACAATCAGTAAGAAACAAGTAGTTTCGAATAAGAATGGGTTGAAGGAAACTTTAGAAGAAATGAACGATTTATTATTGTCCTTGATGAATTGTGTTCAAAAGTTGAATAAACAATTGAAACACAGCGACTAAATCAGAGAAAACCTTGATCAATCATTAATTCTAACAACATTACAATAAATTTTACAATGAAAATTTAAATATTTATTTAAAAAAAATGACTCCACAAGTTGATGAAGAATTTAATGATGATTACCAAGAATACGTCACTGATGAAGAGGAAAAATATGGATTTTGGTATTATGGAGATTTAGCTGATCTCAACATTGCGGATTCTGATGATGATGATGAAGAAGACTTTGATGATATTTATTATGAAAATGATGATGATGATTCCGATACTAAATGTCAACGAGTGGTGCTATCAAATGATAAACTGCTAAAGTGTGAACAGTTAGAAAGGAGCAAGCAAGATCCGAAAGCACCATGGACTGTGAGTTTGATTCATGCTACGAGTCGATATCGATTATTCTTTATTGATGGAATAAGGGATTATTTCTACATGTTGTGTACCTTAAAGTGGGTGTTGGTTTCATTTGAGGAATTATTTAATGGAAAAGAGAGAAATGGAGTCGAATTTAATAGAATATTGTGTGGCAGTGCTAAGGACACAATATTTGAAATGAGTGATGGGAGTTTGTACGGTTTTCATAAATCATTTAGAGTACCTTATTGCTGGGAAAAGCTGGAGTTGATGAGTCGTCAGATTGAAATGATTTCAGCAACCATGTATAGTGATGAAATCTGTTTTGTGAAAGAGGACGAACCCTCTACATTGTACTTGTACTCAAGACCTCAAGCACAAACTTTCAAAATACCAACTTTTGTTAAAATTGCTAAATTATTCTCCCCATACAACCATGTCATCATTGATTCTGAGAATAGATATTTAAAATTATTGGAGGATAATTCATCATTGGAATATATTTCTACACCATTTGAAAAGATTAGCCCAATTAAGCAACTTGTGGGAAGTTACTTTTTCAGCATTGCTCTTTTGGAGAATGGAACAGTTTGGGCAAGAGGCGATATTCAGGTATTTACAAGATATAATGACACTTATTATCAAATAGATATTTCTTTACCAAATATTGTATCAGTGAATGCTTTTGGGTTGTATGGAGTTATTTCAACACCCTCATTTCATATAGTCTTTGGAAATGTGCATGTTGATAATATTCAGAGAATGAAACTAAAAAGACACAATATCAAGATGAAAAATTTGAATATCATCGAGACAGAGAATAAGTATTTCAGTGTGGAAGGGTCAGAAAACATGTTTGTATATAGAAAGACCCACAATCCAATACTATTATTCTCAAAACAAGGTTTACAACTTTTCAGAATAAGATTGTGTGAGAGTTTACAATCTTCTGTTTATTATGATATTTCATTCAAATGCTTATCATATTCATTGTATGATAACTAGATATTCAGATATAAATTGGTTATTTGAGATAAATTACTCCAACATGAGCACCACCCATATAACACTCCCAACATGCATAACAGGAACGAGCCCAAATGCCAATACATGGATTTGGACCAAGCTTTTCAAACCCCTCAATTTCTCCTTTATGTACAAATTTTTGATACTTTTCAAACTGCTTGGTTGCTGCCTTTCCAGTGAAAATTCTAATCCTTGGAGTGAGCTCCTTCTTAGTTGATTTCTCCAAGAATGACATTTCTCCCCAAGTATAAGATCCTCCAACCTTTTTTGTGCTTAATATTACGACAATATATTCAAATACTTACAGATGCCCATCCCTGATCATGAGACAAAACACTAACATGAAATCCAATCACATTAGCCATATCAGATATCTGTAAAGACTCATAATGGTACAAATCATCCTGATTATCATGTGTTGGCTTCAATATCTTGTTTGTATCGATAATTTTCCTATAGACAATCTTTTCAGAAAATGATTTACATGATACCCTCAATCGCATCAATGATTTATGGTCCAGAAAGAATAGCACTTGCTCCAAAACTTCATCCGGAAGTTGTGCTACACTACTCAAATCAACAATACTACTTCCCTCATCATGTTGCGGCTGTGGAAGTGTATTGATGTTCTTGCTCTTGTTGTCTAAGGAAGACAAAGATTGGTTTTGACTTTGTCCCATTTTTTTTCCAAGTTCATTTGTATTTTGGGATTTACTAAAAAGAACTTTGAACACGTTCATAATAAATTAAAATTTTGTTTTTCATTAATTTCTCAATATATAATATCATTGAATTATCAATTCTACAATAATATTAATCCAATAATAATAATATCATGATTACAACAATATACAAATACAAAAAGCAAATGAATCGACGTTAAGGTTAATAGGTATAATTTTCGGCATCTTCTCTACGTTTGGCAATTGTAAAAACAAGGAAACTGATAAAGAGTGTTGCTACAATGACAATTCCTCCTGAAATTTCAAAAGCAAATGTTTCCCATTGAATAATTCCAGTATGGGCCAAAACAAATAATAATCCTAATCCGATAGTAGCAATAAATGATGTCAAGAAGGCTCCGAAATGTTCCCACACTGTGGCATCTTCAGGATCTTCCTTTTCAAATCTTGATGAGAAGGCTCTTGCAATAATATCTGGGAAAGGTGCAATTATATAACAAAGCACCGTGATTAGTGCAAACCAATTTTCTGGATGTTCAACTCCTCCCCATGTAACAGCACATCCAATAATTGCCAACATGACTCCGATCGATACACCTGCAGCAACGGCAACAAGAAGCCCAAATACAATCCTGAAGCTGACCATTTTTTTTTTATTTATTAATTAAAATTTAATATTTTTTACTTGTGATTGGAAGGGAATTGGAAGGAAGACTAAGTGGAAACCACTTGGAAATGTTACATAGAAATAAGGTTTTTGATAGTGTTGTGACCTAAGGAAAGATAAAATATTCTTTGGATTCTATAAGTATATGCAGTTGAACTTTGGTAATAGTAAAAATTATAATCATTCATTCATTTTCAATACCTTTACAAAAATTCATGTAACCCTTTTCACACGACAGTTTAAAAATATCAATTACTTGAAAAACTATTTAACTCTCTAAATTGTTTGAAAACAGTTTGAAATCAAAACAAAAAAAGAATGCAATTAAAGATTAAACCACTCTATGGACAGGAATTTAGTGTTGATGTTGAGACCAACGATACTATTGAGAAATTGAAAGAAAAAATTGCTAATGAGGGAGGTGTCCCAACAACGGAGCAACGTTTGTTATTCTCAGGAAAGGAAATGGAAGATAAGAGAACATTGATGGATTATAATATTCAACAAGAATCAACTGTAAATATGTTGTTTAGACAAAGAGCATAAATAAAAATCTTTGCTTTTTATTATAAATAAAACTTATGCTGACGGACGGGATCGAACCGGCGACCAATGGCTTATTAGACCAACGCTCTACCGACTGAGCTACGCCAGCAGTTCATGTTGATGTTATCAACTTTACTCTTTTGTACAATAGAATTGATGCTTTTTCTTTTAAATAAGGCAAAGTTCTGTCACGTTCCCAACCAAGTCATTCGTTCACAACTGGTGAGTTCATAAGGATAATTGCATGTCTCATTCGGAGTGTCATCATCAATCTGTCAAACCATCTTTGTTCCTACAGTAGCTGCAACTTAAAAAAATTCAATATTATTAAAACATGTCAGTCACATCTCCCAATCTCTTTGTTAACCAATTCGATGTGGCTGATCAACAAGATGACGACATTATTACCATCAATGTAGGAGGAACAGTGTTTCAGGCCCTTCGTGAAACCCTGAGTCGATATGAATGTTACTTTTCAGCTCACTTTCGGTTCCACGAATCTCAGCAGCATCAATATTCGCAACAGCAGCAGCTGCATTTTCATCATCAGCAACAACAATCGAATAATTTATTAAATGTTTTTAGTGGAGGTGGATCGTTATCTGTTTCTCCATTGAGTGGGGTCACTTCTCCGATTGGAAGTATTAATGGAGCTACAATTTCGGATGCTTTCTATTCGAATCCATCTATGATTTTTAATGAACCACTTATTATAAATCAACAGAGAAAGAAGAATAATATTTTCATTGATAGAAATCCCGAATTATTTAAATATGTTTTGGATTGTATGCGAATGTTGGATAAGAATGAAATGAAACAATGTCTACCAACCAATGATTTAAATTTATTACAAAGATTGAGTATTGAAGCTTCTTACTTTTCATTCATGGAAATGTCAGAAGCTATCCAATTTTTATTAACGAGAAAGAAAAAATTTGCATCAGTCAGTGTTGGATTTGACAAGTTCAAATTAGTGAGCTTTGTAAATTGTGAAGGTTTGAATTCCAAAACTTCAAATCAATTATCTGCACCAAATACTATTAGTGAAGTATTTCAAGTGCTGAATGATAATGGTTGTACAGTAGAACATATAATTTCAAGGAAGGCAATAGAAGGATTCGAATCGAGAATTTTCCCAAAAGAGGAGCATAATAAGGCTCTCGTAACTATTATTGCCTCCTATTATGAGTCCATGTAATTGTAAATAGTTTATTCACCTTTCTTTTCCAAAATGTCCATGAAAAGTGGATTTTCATAGGTGTGTTTCAAAATATTGAGCAGAGTTTGTTGTTGCTCAGTAACACAGAATTGTAATTCTTGTGAAATGACTTGTTCAATTCCATCAATATTGTCACACAGACAATTTTCCTTAAGGGCCTCTAAAATTGGTAATACATTTTCATTGAAAAATGGAAATTCACTCGAAATCCAATTATCTCCATCTCCGTTATTTGTCAGTGTCTCGAATACTTCAGTTGCTTCTTCCTTTCTCTTTTGTAATAATAAAACTAGAAGTAACGTTATTTGTGTATCCATCCATTGTCTAATGTAGATTTTAAATATTGGCCTCCACTCTGGAACTTTTGTAGAATGATCTGAAGTGTATGGATTTGAAAAGGCATCAATTCTCTCCTCCAAAATACCAATATAAATCTTAATTCTCAAAACAGCCATTTCAAAATCCTTAATTTCCAATAGACAATCAATAGCATTTTGAAGTGCATTCAATTCCATCGAATGAGAAGTATCTCTACTCAATGATAAATTTGATAAATAATCTACATCTGAAGAATCGTAGTGTTCTTCTCCTAGTTTTCCCTGTTTTACAGTGTAAAAGTAACATTTCGAATAAAAGTGTGAACTCTCACTATATTTTCCTAAAACTTTAAGAACATGAGCCACTTCAAAACATAATGAAGCACACATTGAATAAACTCCATTGGAATCGTATATCTATTATCATGAATGATCATTGTAAATATTCAATCCAAAATTATGGTCAATTTAATATTAAAGCCAGTCCGATACAATTAATTGATAGGATTAATTCATTCAATAAATTTTAATATTATCATCATGTAATAATATAAATTTAATAATTATTAATATAAATTAATTCAAGCTCATTGTGAAACAAACCTCTATAGCTTCTCTAAAAGCATCAATTGCTTCGGATATGAATTCCTCTGCTGTAAAGTATTGAATTAAGTTTTCACTACAAGCCTGATCCGAGAAGATTCTTCCCGAGTAGACGTAAAAGAAGGCTGCATTGAGTGGTGTCTTGTTCAACTTCTCAGCACTAGTATAGATGTTATTTTCCAAGAGTTATTAGGCTAGAAAACTTACTTGGCAGCACACAACATTGAAACTGCTGTATAATGTTTTTGTCCAGTTCTTTGAAGATGAAGGGAAAAGTTTGCATATTGTTCAGAGATTTGATCGTAGGGTATTTTCCTAAACATCTTTCTATTATTTAATTAATTGATCACATGTGGCAGATAATTTTATATTATTAATTAACGATTTAATATTAATTATGTTTGATAATTTCCATCCGATATAAATTCCAAATTATAATAGATAATTATAAATCACCTTGTTCCAAAATCACACCACTCCAACAAATCACTTACTTTTTCAAACGATCGGCAATCTTTTTAAATTCCTCCACCAAGTCCTGTTGTTGCTGTTGACTCATTTTCTTCTTTCCAACTCTTCATCACTATCAAATGCTGACGAACATCTTTCTTCCAAAGAAACAAATCCTTACCATCTTCTTCAAGATACTAAAAACAATTATTAACAATCGTAATCTATTAAACATATATCCATATTTCCACCATCATCAAGGTAACAAAAATCAATGAAAAGGACACGTGTTCGGAATGAAAACTCTTTGCAAAAAAGCAAAGAGAAAAAAAATGAATTCCTTCTCAACAGGTGGCGGAAATTTTCATCATCAAACAATGACTACTTCCCGAAGATCATCATCTATTAGATTTTCTCTCCTTCTTGTATTGTGTTGTTGTATTTTGTTTATTGGTAGTTGTTTAGCTGCTGATCTTTATGAAACTTTACACGTTCCAAAGAATGCTGCTCAAGACCAAATTAAACGAGCATTTAAAAAGTTGACAATGAAATATCACCCTGATAGATACAAGGGTGATGATAAGGCTGATGCTCAAAAAAAGTATGCCCAAATTTCACATGCCTATGAAGTCTTATCCGATGAAAAAAAGAGACAAGTTTATGATAGATATGGAGAAGAAGGATTAAAACAACAAGAAAGAGGAGGTCATCCTGGTGGTGGAATGGGAGGAATGGATATTTTCTCTGAATTCTTTGGTGGAGGTGGTGGTTTCCATTTCAATTTTGGTGGAGGTAATGATGGACAAGAAGAAGAAGATGAATTCAAGGGTCAAGATTTGAGAATCCCACTCGAAGTTACTTTGGAAAATCTCTACAATGGTAGACTTATGAACTTTAAGAGAGTTAGAACTGCTCATGAAGGAAATTCTCAACCAAAGAAATGTGAATGTAGAAATAAGGTTATCAGAATGATGGTTATCAATGGTGTTATGAAGAGAATGACTGAAAATAATTGTGAAGAATGTAAGAATCGTTTCGATGTTGTTCAAAAGGCTACTGCATTAACGATACAAATTGATAGAGGTATGAGAGATGGTGAAGAAATCATTTTCTATGGTGAAGGTGATGCTACCAGATCTCATCGTAGTGGTGATTTGATCTTTATTGTCAAGACTAAGGAACACTCTACATTTACTAGAGTTGGTGACGATTTAAAGATGAAGATGGATATTTCTTTGAAGGAAAGTTTGACTGGACTCACCAAAATTATCAAACATTTGGATGACAGAAATTTACAAATTAAGATTGATAACGTCATCAAACCAAACAGTATTAGAGTTGTAAAGGGTGAAGGTATGCCAAGAAAGGAAAACCCAGCTCAAAGGGGTGATCTTCACATTGAATTCAATGTCATTTTCCCAACTAGTCTCACTACTGCACAACAAGATGAGCTTAAGAAAATTTTGTAACCTTACTAAACTATAAAAAATATTTTCAATTATTATTACTCCATTACTGTAACAGTATTGAACATGATTGTAAAAATATTACGTGAACACTGTCACACAACTTCCATACTACTATTCTTTAATAACATTTGAATAATAACCGAGCTCCACCTCACAAGAAAATCCACATTTCCAAATTAGAATTCCAATTCACTGCAAGCTAACAGCTTAAACACACATGAATAATTCAACCACCAACCTCAATTCACCTTTTTGACACTTTCGCGTTTTATTTTCGCTTTTTTTTCAAAACAGAAAAAATGTTCAAACGCGCCCTTGCTCAATCTCAAAGACTCGCCTTCAGATCCTCCACTGCTCCACAATTTAATTTGGCTGCCTCCCAAAGACTCTTCTCTACTTCCCAAAATCCAATGGCTGGAAAGTTGGAAGGAAAGGTTTGTCTCGTTACTGGTAAGTTTTTTTAAAGGATTGGATTGTTTTAAAACTTTGATCGTTTGTATCTGTCGTACAATTATATGTTTTTTCATCTATTATAATATTCATCTATTATTTTCCTCATCTATTAATCACGTTGCTACTTGTTGATTATATTAAAATATTACTATTAATAATAATACTCATACTAATAATTATAATTAATATTCATCATCAATTAATAATAATAGGTGCTGGAAGTGGTATCGGAAAGGGTATTGCTCAATTATTTGCTAAAGAAGGAGGTAAAGTCGTTGTTGGAGATTTGAACTTGGCTGCTGCTCAAGCAACTGTTGCTGGTCTTGACAATGCTACACAACACTTGGCTGTTGGTATGGATGTTACCAAGGAACAAGTTGTTACTGAAACCTATGAAGCTATTAAGAAGCATTTCGGTAAGCCAATCGACGTTGTAATTTGTAATGCTGGTGTTCAACATATTGACCCAGTTGACAAATTGAGTTTTGATAATTGGAGAAAGATTGTTTCTGTTCATTTGGATGCTGCTTTCTTGTGTACTCGTGAAGCTTTGAAGCAAATGTACGAACAAAAGTATGGTAAGATTATCTATATTGGTTCAGTTCACTCAAAGCTTGCTTCTCCATTGAAGGCTCCATACGTTTCTGCTAAACATGGTGTTTTGGGTTTGTGTCGTGCTGTTGCTAAGGAAGGTGCTAAGAAGGGTGTTAGTGCCAACGTTATTTGTCCAGGTTTCGTTTTGACTCCTCTTGTTGAAAAGCAAATTCCAGAACAAGCTAAGGAATTGGGCATTAGTGAACAAGAAGTTGTTAAGAATATCATGTTAAAAGACACTGTTGATGGTGAATTTACTACAATTGATGATGTTGCTCAAGCTACTTTATTCTTTGCTTCACATCCAACTAATGCTTTAACTGGTCAATCAATGATTGTTTCACATGGTTGGTATATGCAATAAATTATCCTCCGTGAAGAGTTGAAATGAAAACAATGTTATCTTTGGCTTGAATCTTGTAACTTAATTCGTCCAATAATTCCCAATCAGTATCATTAATAATTACTAAAATACCAGGTCTCCTAAATTATTTAAATTATTTGATAATGATGATTATTGGTATGATGAAGATGTTGATCGTTATGAATATTGTTGATGTAATAATTAAAAAAATAATATTATAATATATCTAATCACTGTGATGATCCTTACACTGATGTATTTTCGTTATTGATGAAAAGTTCTGGTTTTTCTTTCAAGTGCTTTTCTTTCAACAAGAGAATTAATTGTTGCATTGTCAATCCTTCTTCAACTTCCAAATTCATTGAAGTTTGATTATCGAAAAGTAATTCGCATCCACCACTATTCCGAAGATTTGATGATATCAGTACTATGAAATTATCCTCTTACCTAAATTCAACCTTTACTTGCATTTTTTTAAATTTGAATTAGTGCAAATTGAATTTTGAATAATTGAATTTAATAATTGAATTACTATCAAATAATAAATTTATGCATTCATTCCATAACTTGTAATAAGTTCTGATCTTGTTTGAGCAAGTTGACGTTCATTTTCTGCTAATTCATTTTGATATTGATTTTGTAAATAATCAGAACTAACATATTTCTTCAACATGGTAACACATTGTGTAAAATTCAAAATCCTAGCCAAGGTGAGACACGATCTTCCTCTTTTATCGGTAATTGTATAATCAGCACCATGTTTTAACAAATGTTCAACAATTTCCAATTGATTGTAAACGACTGCACCATGTAAAGGAGTCCATTCATCACCGAATTGGAGTTTTTCATTGATATCATGACTGTTATTAGTATTTTCTAAACATTTCTTTAAGGCAGTCAAGTTACCATCTACTGCATGTTCGAATAGTGAATTATGTGGATAACCAAACCAGACATTGCAACACTCTGAAATATCAGAAACATCAGTACCGTGTGATGCAAATGATAAATCAACATTGTAGGTTTGTTCCAAGCCAATCAAATCCCCTTTGCAAGTAATACGTGGTCTCTGTACATTCACCACATCAGTAATAAGTATTGTTGTAAATGAATCATCATGAACTTGTTAATAATTAAATATTAAGGGAATACAAACAAAGTTGGTCATTTCGTAGGAATAACGCCAGCCACTTCCACTTGGATTTTCTTGACAATAGTGGCACCAAAAGAATGTTGGGTAGATGAGTCCATTCTGAGGATCTTGGGATCTGTCGAATGGTGGACCTTGATTGCCAGTCATTTTTTTTTATTGTGTCGATGAACTTTTCCAAAATTATAACCCTTATTAAGCAATCTCAAAGAAATGAACAATTACAGATTGAAAGGTGCACATTTGGCAAATATGACTCTAGAGAAAGTGGAGAGTTATATCATTGAAAGATGTATTCAATATTTTTCAGTCACCAAAAAAGCTGCTTAATAGAATGAAAAAATATTATGCTCAAATTGACTTGACAAAGTTGAAGAGTTGCTTGATACTCTCTTCAGAACCGTCACACTTTCTGAAACGGTCATACAATTCATAGAACAGTTTTCCCTTCTCATTGTCTTTTACAGCTTCAATAGGTTTTGATTTGGATAACCTTTCGGCAACAAATTTTGCTCTCTCAATAATTTGGTTTGGAAGACCAGCGAGTGAGGCAACAGTTATGCCGTAACTTGGGATTATTTTACCACGTGTCAATTTGTACAAAAACACTAAATCCTCAGCACTTGGAACCACAAAGTGTTCATCTTCCATATCATTTGGCAATTCATTGACTGAATCAATCAATACATCCATGGTCATGAATTGAATAGATGTTGAGTTTACATCAATGATTTTGTGTTGAAGCACTTCAACATAGTGAGTAGTGACAATCACTCTCGGTACATGTTCTCTTTCTTGGAAATGTTTGAGGATTGCTGATAAGAGAGCTATTCCATCCAGTGCCAAAGTACCTTTTCCAAATTCATCTTTTGATAATATTATTGGAATTAAGTGCGTTTGAAAAACTTACCAATGAGGAGAAGAGATCTTGAAGAAGCAAAGTCAACCATGGCCTTCATTTGGAGTACATCAATGGCAAAAGTGGATTGACTAACACTGATACTATCTTGTGATTGAATTCTTGTCATTATTCTATCTACAACTCCTATTACTGATTCTGGAGATGCTGACACAAATGATCCAATATGAGCCATGAATACAATTAAACCTACTTGTTTCAAATAACAAGATTTACCAGAATTATTTGGACCAGTAATAATTTGAATACATTCAGATATATTTGTGTCGTTGGGAATGAAAGTATCTACTGTTAACTCTTGGAGAATATTCTTACCTTCCCTAATATTGAGCTTACTCTCGTTGGTCATTACTGGTCTTGATAGGTTGAACTCACTGGCACAATTAGCCATAGAAATGATACAATCAAGTTTGGCACAAAGATCATTGGATTTGTTAATTTGGTCATGGTATTGAAGCACATATTTTTCCAATTTAACTGAAATGGAGGTTTCTTGTTCAATAATCAAGTGGTGTATATCTCCAACCTCTGTGTCCAGCTCATCAGTTGTGTCGTTTTTAAAGTACAAGGAACGATCTGAGGAAAAATGAAAACGTAGCCCATACTGAGCATACTCTGAATAATTCTCAGAGGTTTCATTCTTATCAACCACAAGAAGGAATCCAAGTTGAGGGTAGTACACTGCCTTGAATGAGAAGGGGAAATCCTCAGGAAATGAGTTGGATTCTTGTTGAGCAACCAGATCAAGGAATGTATCTAACGATTCATATGTTTGTCTTCTATTATCAAGTTCAGAGTTGACTCCTGTCATTATGACCAATCTGTTTTGACTTCTTGACTCTTTGAGATCGACAATTTTTGATATTGCTTGTAATACTTTCATGATAGACTCATTGTCGTGGTTAAGCAAGTCTTGGGCTACTTCTACGGAAGGATTATCATCCATTTCTGACAGAATTTCAGTAATATTCTTGTAACAGTACAAGGTCTTGTAGAGATTACTCCAATCATTCACTGTTGCTTTTGCTTCTCTCATTCTGTTGATGATACGTTTGGTGTTTTTAACAAATTTGAGATTTTCCCTTATTTCGTCAATAATATCATCTGAGAATCTGCTAAAATAATCTATGGCATCATGACGCTTCTTGATAATATCCAAGTCCATTACTGGTTTCAAAAACCATTGACGAAGAAGATCTTTACCAACAGATGATTTTGTCTTATTCATAATACCAAATAATGACAATCCTTCCTTTGGCTTACCGAGAGAACTTGAAGGATGTGATTCCACTGTGACAACATGAGCATGAGAATTTTGATTTGAAAATCTACTTACAACTAAATATTGACAGAGCCTTCAACGTATTCAAATCTAATTGTACAAATCCTTCACTTCATATGAGTTTGTAATATCTGTGAATTGACCAACTTACAACTTGAAATTTTTGATATTCTTGATGTTCTTTAAGACTTCAATATCATCAAGCTCACCAAAAGAGAGTCTATTGGTTTGAATATGACACAATAATCCTCCCAAAGCTCTCACTGTCTGTGTATTCTCCTCAACGTAGAGTGAGGAAAAATCAAACATGTTATCATTCTTCTCACTGACTTGCCTTAATCTATTTGCTTGTTTAAGAAATGCTGGTCCATTGTTAAGAATGGGAGTGGAGGGTTCCTCATCTGTCATCATTCTATCATTTTGATTACCGAGTAATACATTCTCTAATAATTGAATCTTCTTGGTGGCATTCTCAGCACTAAAATCAGAAGACTTGAGTAGCTTGACTTCAATTTGTTGCTCTTTTGCTCCTTCGATTGGCTTTTTAACATGTTTCATGAAGGATTGTTCCAGTCGGGAAGGAACAAGAATTAAATTAGGCTTTACTTCAAATTTGACTGTTCATCATCAATTCGACCAATTCAATAATATTTGAACAATAAGAAACATACCGAATTCTGTTGCTTCAAAGAGAGTATTCTCATTGGTTTCTCCACACAATAATTCACCTGAATTCATATCAAAAGCAGCAACGCCAAGTCTTCCTCTCTGATAACACAACGAGAGTATCACTGGAGTCTCATTCTCTAAGGCTTCTTCATCTTCATCATTATTAGCATCAGTACTACGAACAGTGTTCCTTGCAGGAGTACCAACACTGAGAGAAGAAGAAGCTCCACCAGTAGAGGCTACCGAAACGAAAGAAGAATCATTCAATTGATTCAAATGTGATGTTGATTGTTGAGGTTGTCCTCCTCCTCTCCCAAAGGATCTATCCAAAGCACCACCATTTTCCATCCTCATCATCATACTACCATGCTGATCGCCACCATTCTGAATCAAATCTTCATCCTCATCAGATGAATACAAATCAGCCGAGAACAAGTTGAGTGGATGATTGTTTGACATTTTTTTTTAAGGTTTTTTTTGGCGCTTAAATTCTCAAAGCCTTGTTTTTTTATTTCTTTGATAAAAGTCTGAAAACTTGATCTCTTTGAACGGTTGACTCTGGACTCTTTCTTCCATTTGTTACTTTTCGTTCGTCATGGAAAAGTTGAACCCACTTTAAACTGTCATAGGCTGAAATATTGAAGAGTTGACCAAGGAGAATGGCTGCGACTGTTCCTGTTCTTCCATGTCCTCTGTTAAATATTGAGTTCAATATATATTCGAAACATATAGTATAGTACTTACCCAACACAGTGAACGTATAAAACTTCACCTCTATTCACCAATTGAGCTAACAATGTCACTAATTCCGTCACTTTGTCATCTTCAGCAATATTCTTATCTCTTATTGGAAATGTAACATAATTCAATTTAGATCTTGTTGTCTTTTTCAATGCATTTGCAAAATAGAATGGTCCACATCTCAATTGTTCATCTTCCTCCACTAAATTAACAAAAGTTGTCACTCCACTCGATACAATACTATCAACTTCCTTTGATCTTGGATATCCTCCGACACAAATATGATGTGGTATCAGCCAATTTGAATAATCTGTTGGTCCTGCATAGTTTGTATTCAATGGTGTTCCTGGTGTTGGTAAAGTGGGCAGTAAAACCGGCCCAACAACTCCAGGAATTATTTCTACAAGATTTTTCTTCGGATTGTATTCTAGAGAACCTCCAGATGATGATCCCTTCTTTACACTAGCTGCTGTTTTTCCTCCTTTGGCCATTTGTATTATTGTACTGGTTATTAATTGTTATTATTATTTGAATTTAATTTTCACGTGATGTGATGATTTTTTTTGATTTTGAAATTTTTGGTTTTTTTAAACTTATTTTTAGGAGTTGAAGTTCTTTGAATCATTTCTGAACTTGAAGCGTTGCTAATAATATTATTTGAAATTGTTTACAATGAAAACTTGTAAAAAAGTTCTGGTGTAACATAGTTGTTAAAGGCCAGAACAAGTAGCAATGAAGTGATGACAAGCATCAAGTAAGATGAATTTCTAACTGAATAACTTTCGTTCAAATTTAGCTCAGTAGTTTATTTGCAATTCACAAATTAATGCGAGATAACAAGTAAGCAAACACAAGAGTGAATCTCCTCTAATTGACATTCCTTGATTCAATCTGGCAGAATGAGAAGGTGTTGGAACTGCATTGAATGTTGAAGTGGCAGGAACAAGCTCACAATTAGGTCCATAGGCATTTCCAGAACATTTACAAGTGTCAGGTGCTGAGCATTGACCTCTTCCAGAACAAACACCAACATTGCTATTGATAATTCCCTTACAATTGAAGGATTGAATAATTTGGTTGAATTGAAAGCAATTCCAGTTGGTTGATAGAGTTGAACAGGAACATTGTTAAAGACCAGAATTTTGTGGAATTGTTATCAGAAATGAATAGCTCACCATCTGAATTGAAAGCAATTCCAGTTGGTTGATAGAGTTTGGCATCTGTTGCCAGACCACCATCACCACAGATCCTACCAAACCAATTCCAAAAGTAGAGCAGAAAGCATTCGAACAATGATTAAACACCAATTATTTGGACCACCCATAGCCGAACACTGTTCTAATGAATTCATTATCTCCCAATCCAAGAACCAATAAGGTAGTAAAAAGAGATGCATATTGATCGGGGTTCATGTTTTGGAGATAGTACTTTCCAATGAAATTTTGTGCCTTATTGAATTTGACAAGTCTTAAAGGATTTGAAAAGTGTTCAGAGTTGTGCAACTTTCCACTCACTGTACTTCTACTTCCACCTTTACTATCCCCACTTCTGTATTCAGCTAAATCCAAAACTATTTCTATATCATATTTGAGAGGAGACTGACAAGGCCAGTATGTTATTAAGGTGGCCTTCATGGTGTTATATTCATTCATCTTGTCATCATTCAATGTCTTGGTGGCTATGTAAGTGTTAGTAAAGAAATCATTGACAAATTGCTTGAATATTGTTGATTTGTCAATAAACTTTACTCTGAAAGCATTCAAAAGACAGTCCAATCCCTTAATAGTTGGAAACTGAACTCTTTCAAACATGGATCTGGAAAGAACATAATATTTCCAATCATCTACTTGGAAAGAATCATTTTCTAGAGAGTAGTGAGCTGGTTTTGGATATCTACAATAGCAAAGATACTTCCAAACGTCATTAGATTCAAATACATTATTCCAACTCTTGTCTAATCTCATTAAATTTGTTAAATCAATTGCCTTTGGTATATATGATGCAATTGTCATGACAATTTCAATTGGAAGATAATGATGTGAGAGAGTGGCACCTTCCTTATTTGAAATTTCCTTCACATTTTCAAAGTCAATTGGAGCATTCTTAAATCTGAATTGGTTCATTTCAGCTTTTGTTTCGAATAATTTCTTGAAAATTAGTGGTTGATTCAGCATGTCAAAAACCATTTCAGACAATTTCATAAAATTATCCCTCATGATCCCAAACAGAAAAGTATCAATATTTTGTTCTATAGCATTCTTCATTGATTTGAAAACTAATTTCTCCAATTCATTCGAATCTATTGCATGCACAACTGATGAAAGTAAATTGGCCGCAACTTGTTGTGAAATAAACCTTAAAGAGTTCAAATTATTCTGTATATGATAGGGTTTCATTGAGATGGACGAAACTCCAAATGCACTATACAACATTTCCTCATTGAGTGGACTAACCACATCATAGATATCATCCTTAGTACTGGAAAACATGAACATATTGAAATTGGAAGCAAAATCAGAATCTCCCTCATCGTGCAAATATTTCACAATTCGTTTCGTGAGACGATCATAATGCACCAGCCCTGCCAAATCATAAATTGAATTGCGAAGTGATTTTTCATGATATTGCTCTGATGTTGGTAGAATGAGATGAATTAACTCTATATCGAGAATGTGTTTCGTCCAATTATCGTCATCAATATTGAATTGTAAATGTGATTTCTTGATAATTTCCAATAATTGTAATGGAGCTATTTCACATGAAAAAGAGTCAATCAGTGATGAAGGAAGAATATCCAATCGAGACACTTCCCTCATTTCCAAATATTTCAACAAGTGATATCTATCTGTACAATACTCAATTTCAATAATTTCACCATCAAATTGTTCCAATCGAATAGAAAATTCAATCCATCTCCTTGCCTGTCCACCACCAAGAACCCAATCATAAAAATCAGAGCTTTCATATCTATTTGAAATATTCTTCTTTTTCAAATGGACATGATGGGCATAATTTAGAGAAATTTCTTTAAATTCCTTCGATTTTAACAAATTCACAAGTGCATCCCTGTTCAGACAAATTAAATCCCAATCGGCGGATTTTCTATTAAATCTCTCATCGGACCATTTCTTCATAACCTTCTGTGTCCATGACCATCTTGATGGTTCTTCTTCTTCCGATGATGATGATAAATTATTTGCCTTTTTCCAATGATCATTCAATGCACGGGAACCAATCAATAAAAAATCACACCTAAATTCTTCATCATCACCATCGAAATGTTGGTAGGAGTGATAAAGTGGCTTCGGGTGGTGGTGAATGATTTGATCACAGTTGGAGATGAATTGGATCAAGTCGGACACGTTGTGGACAGGACCAGGTTCGATATCATCGAGTTGTTGCATTTTTTCTTGTTCAATTCTGAAAAAGTTTCAGTTTTTGTAAAGTGGGTTCAATATTTAAATACCAGTTTACAATTCATGATTAAATAAAAACTTTAAAAAATTATTTAAAAAAAATGGCTCAAGATGAATCGGCAGTAACCCTCACACTCTTTGATTTCCGTATCAAATTCAATACAGTACATCAGCACCATTTTGATGATCAAGACACCGACAACAATTCCTTAACTTGTAATTTTGGAATGTTGAAACAAAAATTACGATCAAAGAATAGGCTAGCCTTTTCCAACAAGTTTGAATGGGAGGGAGAGATTGATTGTTCTCCCGATAAAGAAATATATGATGTCAGAATATCGAGTACTTGTTCGTGTATTTTAGCCTTGACTGATTCGGCTTTTTTAGTGATTGATTATTCGACACATCAGATCAGAACGAGGATCAAGACTGATTGTTTGTATTTTACGATTGAAGAGGATTATGATGGTTTGGGAAATGATGCATTATTGACGAATAGGATGGGAGTGGTGAGCAAGTATGATTTGAAGAGGTTTATTCATGAGAAGGAAGAGTGTAAACCATTGTGGAATTATTCTATTCCAGATCATGGAGGATTTATTTGTGATACGGTAAATTGGATGAATTTAGATGGAAGGCGTTTAGTTATAGTTCTTTCCCAAACCCATATTCATTTTATAGACTCTGCATTTGGAATGGTAGCAGATACTGGAATTCCTCTGGAAAATGATAATTTCGTTAGTGGATGCATTGAAGTGGATCGTACGAATAAGAATGCAATTTATTTCTTGGCTGGTAGCCTTAACAGATACGAGTACGTGAATGGAGATTGGATTGGAAAACAACATGAAATTAGTTTGGGGACAACAGATGGACTTTTTATGGACAAGGTTTCAGGTAACCTCTATTTCTCTGGATTTCAAGGAGTCTATGCAGTTAAGAATACTGGAGAATTTCTGGGAAAGCATGATGGATCATGTTCTGGATTGTGTATAGATGACAAGTCAGGATTAATGTACGTTGGATTTGGAAATATGCTCACAATTTTGAGATAGCTTTCATCCATTAAATATTTCATTCGATTCATAACAAAACTACCATGATATTGATGTTCCATTCTAATGATAGAACTGCAATAAGAAATGATTGAAAGAGCCACCTACTGATTCATTTATCAAATAAAGCAAGCAATAGACGTCTATTTTTGAAAAATCAATTTCTATTTTAGGATATTTTCAAAAAATATTTATTTTCTATTCATTTCTCTAATGAAAAGATCAAAATTGGATTCGATTCGTTGTTGTGAACTGGTAGTGCTAGTAAAATTTGAATTCGAAAGTTGGGATTTAAAATTGTGACTTGAGGCAGATGCTGATGAATTCTTGAATGCGGACTTGGAGAGCTTGTTGAAAGAAGCCTTAGCAAATGAATTTGTATATTTGAATGCAGCTGATGTGACCATTTTAGAGTTTCGTTTAGTTTCGTTAATCAATAACGTAGTGTGTGATTTCAGTTTAAAATTCACAGGTAATGTTTATGCGCAGTAAGAGAGAATCCTAAGAAGAATCTTCTTGTGTGTTAGTTTTAGAGTTGTTTTGTTTTTTTCTATTCGAAACTTATCTACAACCGGCATGGCTATTTCAATACAACTCATAGACGACGAAACTTCAACAATTTTCAAAATTAGATTTCAGGGTAACGTTGAGAAAGAATCCCCAGAAAGAAAACTTACTCTCCATTTCGGTCTTCGACTACTTTCGAATAACAAATTGTAGTGAGGTTTGAAAAATTCTAACCGTTAAATCACCAACACTTAATTTTAAATTGTAAAAATAATTTCGAATACCTGTGGGTGATGGACAGATTCTCTCTAAAAAAGTCCTCACTACTGAACTTGTTTAGTCAACTGTAAATGGCTGTCATCTTTGTAAATGTTTACAATTTGGAAATTTCAAATACAAGTATTTATTCAATATTTCATAAATCAACATTAATGTTTACTTTCGTCAAGTTTCGTTTCATCAACCATAGAAGAGAGAGCAACTTTCTTTCTCCACCACAAATAAGCATAACACAACACAGCAACCAACGCAGAAGCAACATATCCAACCAAGAAAGCCAACGCAATATTCATATACCACAAACAAACACACATGACAGCAGCAAAAATTGGTAAACTATTACTGCCAACCATCATTGTTGAAGATGCATTGGAGGTTGGGATTTCTCCTTGAGATAACCATAAGGAAATTAAGGAAGAAAGTGAGATTACTGGAAAAACTGAGAACATGCCAGAAATAAATGTCAATTTCAAGCCACCCATCAAAACTGAAATGCAGATAATGACACATGCCAAAATGCCTCTACTCAAAAGTAACCACCAAGCAACTTTCTTGGCTGGTCCTGGTTTGGTAGTTGGCTGTTTCCAATTGAAAATCAAACTGGAAATTATGGTCAACCCATAGAAACCCATACTGACACCCATCAAAATGTCATCCGATAATTTTACAATTTTTGTAACAACTACAAAAACTGCAGCTACAACAAACCAAGCAATTAAGGAAAGGAAACAAACAATAAGCATCTTTCCAATCTTTTTCAAGAGTTCGTGCTTGTTTGGTTTTGTTTCTTCCACTTTTTGGTCAACCAGATTTTCTTTATCATGATTCAAATCAACTTCTTTCAATTCCAAATGATCATCATGATGTTCCTTAAAGTGATCTTCCAGGGATACTGCTGGTCCACTAGAATTAAAAGTTTCCTTATTATTGACATGTTGTTTCTTGTTGTGAATTTTGGAAATAATCCAATTCAACAAAGTTGGACCATATTTCCACACAACCATCATGGTGATATTGCAGAAAACAGCAATTGGAACAGAGAAGAATTGTTGAATTAGGACGTGTCTTCTATTTTCCTCATCTGTTTCATAATTTCTATTGGCATCGAATGCAAATCCAATTAGAGCTGGAACGATAGCACTTGGCTGTTTCGTATATATTAGTTTTGGAACCATTTCACATATAAAACTTACCAAGGTTGCAATAACTCCTCCAATTTGAGGTCCAAATCTTTCAATAATTACAGTTACAAAAATTGTAACAGCACCTGCAAATAATCCACTCATGATTGCATTAAAGTAAATTGACTTGACAATAACCCAGAACCAATCCATTGCTGTACTAGGATTTGGAGTTATGGTTCCATTAGTCGATATCGAACCATTTTCATTCAATAATGAATAGTAAATATTAGTATTTGGTGTTGAAGAGGTTGATATTTCCTTTTTTCCGTAAGCAAAAGTGTTCATTGCCATCATGATGATGAATATGATTACCATGATGGTGCTTATTAAGGAATATTTAATTCCTTTGCTTTCTTTCTTTTCGTGATAAGTCATCCTTCTTCCTTGATTTATTAACACTAGTATTTAATTAATTAATTGAATATTATTAAAATCGGGATAAGTATTAGGTTTTCCACTCTTTCAAAATTTCTGTGTTATGGTGCGGTAGGTGGTGAACCTATCAATTTGTTGTGTTCTTTTGTTTGGTGTGAAATAAATGTTGTTGAGGAGCCTTTTCTCAAAATTTGGACCTATTTAGGTAATGTAGTGGTAATTGTTGAGGAGAACTTGTTTGGCATTGAGAGTGTGTTAGTAAATATGGCGAATATTGTTATGCAATTTGGAAGGGGCAGCTCGAACTTGTATTGAGCGCAGCAGGTAGTAACAAATTTCAAAATATTGAAACACTCATTGAATTATCGAGAGTGAGGTTTTATTATTTTACAAATCCAAGGTTGAAACTAGAACACCTTGTTCAAAAAGTTCTGAATTGTCTTGCTCAACAAATCCAGCGCGAGTACACAACTTTTGAACACCAATGTTGGAGTGGTGAGTGTAGGCAATGAGTTGTGAAATGTTTCCTTCTTGTTTGGCAATGTGAATTAATTGTTCCAAGAGGTATTTACCAATACCCTTTCCTTGAGCTTGTTCACCAACAAGGAGTTGGAGTTCGGCCTTTCTCTTCTTTGAACTAACAATGGATTGTTGCATAATTGTGTAGACACCCATGCCGATAATGGACTTGCTCTTCTTATCGATAGCGAACAATACAACTTCTCTGTCAAAGTCACTGGAAACGTACTGAACCAATTCTTGGTAAATCTCCTTAGAGTCTCCATCTGTGTTAAGACTCAATGCATATGGATCCAATGGTTGTGGAGCATCTTGATTCTTGGCCTTATTGTATTGATTCTTCAAACTGAGGAAAGCAATGGAGCATTGTGAACGAAGAGCTGACTCTCTAATACTAGATTCCAAAGTCTTTGGTGAGAGATTGGTAAAGAATGAGAGAAGCTTTCTAAAATCAGAAAACTTGGATGGTCTAACAAGGATATCATCACTAACGTTGGTGACATACTTTCTTTCGTAGGAACGAATGACATTTTGAGCCTTCTTGGCCTTTGGTTTGTGGAGAGTGAGTCTGCAGTCGAGAGCAGTGAAGGACTTTTCATTGTCAGTAGCAAGAGCTTGAAGAGGATTAATTTCAAATTCCTTAATCAAATCGCTATTATCAAGAACCATTCTGCTGAAACGAACGAGCAAAGACTTTAAACCTTCAATATCAATGGCTGGCTTATTTCTGAATCTTTCAACGAGGGCATCAGAAATCTTTGTCTTTCTCAAAAGTTGATAGGCCAAAGGAGCAGTAAGTGGAGGAATGCCATAACTCTTATCCTTGTAAATTTGATGCAAAGAGCCACCTGTACCAAATGAAATAACTGGTCCAAACTTTTCATCAACTTCAGATCCTAGATACAATTCGAATGAAATGGAATCTCTCTTACCAGTAGCAATCTTCTTACAATCTGATTGAACAGTAACTCCAGTAAATTTGACATTACTCTTTTCAACTGATTGCTTGATAGAATTGAAACCTTGTTTAACTTGCTTTTCATCCATCAAATTCAAAAGAACACCACCCAAATCTAACTTGGAAATGGTGGTATCACTATTGTGCAATTTGAGCACAACTGGATATCCAATATGTTTGGCAGCTTCCACAGCTTCTTCAGCAGAGTTAGCAATTCTTGTCTGAGGAACGCCAATACCATAGAGTGAAAGAAGATGTTGACTCTCATATTCATTGAGAGCTTCCTTGTTTGGATTCTTTTCAAGTAAGGACTTGATGTATTCTCTAGCCTTTTGTTTTGATGATTCATTTTGGCTGGCATCATCATTGTCGAGAAGACTTGGATCTTCATATAAATTTTCCAAATTCTTAGAGTATCTGTAATTGTATTGGAATACTTTGGTAGCAATTTCTGGGAAGGCAAAAGCTGGAATGTTAGCACTCAACAAGATACTTCTACCTGCTTCAACATCTCTACCACCCATAAAACAGCACATAATTGGCTTGGATAATTTTCCTTCCTTTGTCTTTTCAACAATATATCTTTGTAAGAATTGAGCAGTTCTTGTTGGTTCTGTTCTTGTTTGAGGAGTTAACATGACAAGAACGCTGTCAGTCTTTGGATCGTTATATACAATATCCAAAGCAGCAACATATTGTTCAGGAGTGGCTGTGTTTCTGATATTTACAGGAATAGCCTTCTTTCCAGAAAGTAAAGCCTCTTCTACATCAATTCCACTCTCTTGCAAAAGTTTTGCACTCTTGTTAGAAATAGCTCCCAATTCGGTAATGTTAGATTGGTAGATGGCGTCAACAGCAAGTGTTGCAGCACCACCAGAGTTAGAAATAACAGTAATGGTGTTTCCCTTTGTAATGGCTTGTTTTCCAATAAGCTGTGACATGTAAAACATTTCTTCAATAGAATTAACTCTTAAAATACCAACTCTTTCAAAGAGGGCATTAAGGTAATTGTCTTCGTCTCTATTGTTAGTGTTCATCTTCATGGCAATAATTGGCTTCTTTAAAGCTACACTTCTGGCAGCACTGGCAAATCTCTTAATATGTTCATTATTTCCCAAATCTTCAATGTACAACAAGATGGCATGAGTATTTGGATCATTACCAAAATGTTCAACCATATCTGCAAAGTTAACATCAGTTTGATTAGCACCAACACAGGCAAAACCACTCAATCCTACTCCTTGCTTCAAACTCCAATCGAGAATGGTTGTTGCCAAAGCACCAGATTGTGAAACAACACCAATTTTACCACGAGTCAGTTCAGAACTTCTATTTGTTGGAGTAATATTCAAAAAGTTATTGTAAATTTCACCAACGTGATATTGACCTGATTGAGTTACAAGAGGTGTTATAAGACCCATACCAGGACCAATAACTCTAATGTCAGATCCCTTGACAATTTCCTTGAATTTTTCAATATTCTTTGTTTCATTTTCACTGAATTTTTCATAAAATTTGCTGTAAACACTTCCAATAATGACACATCCTTTAACACCATTCTTGATACACTCCTCCAAAGCATAGAACATGGTTTCGACTTGATGGCAACAAATGACAGCCAAATCAATTTCTAATTTCTTTTGTTCTGTAGATTTAGATGCTGACAATTCACTCAGAGATGGATACATTGGTACACCCAATAAATGTGGTCTTCTCTTTGTTTTTGGTTCATTGCCAACTCTTTCCACATGTTTAGAAACTGCATAAACCTTGACTTGTGACACAGACATTAAATTCCAGAGAACATTTCTAGCCAAAGTACTACTAATACTATCGTTAGGTACAGGAACTGGACTAGCATGAACATCAGGATTGAAATCATCAATAACACAAATGCTCTTTGGCTTAAAAATACAATCCAATTCATTGGTATTCAAATTTCTCTTGATGACATCATGAACTTGTTCCAAATTTACAGTGTTAGGTTTTTGCAATTCTTCCGAAATGTTTCTTCTCTTTGTCTGTGCATTGTACAAACTAGCAACATTACTATTTAACCCTCTTGATATATTACTATCAATTAAATTATTATTTCCAAAATTCAAATCATTCTTCTTTACAAACACTCCACAAGATGATGATGATTTCTTCATCAAGACACCAAGTGTTGCCGAAGAGTGTTTGATAGCATTCTTATTCAGTGTTGTTCTCATTTTCCAATATTATTATTACTATTATTATTCAATGAAAAAGCCTAAAATTGTTCTCGATACAAGCCAATGAGTTGATGATGAGAAAGGCTAAAAACAAGTGTGTGTGAGTACTGTACAAGAGACAACAAAGCGAAATATTTTTTTGTTGTGGAGGAGGAGCTTGCAGGACAATGAAGGACATTGAAGAAGAAAAATCCCGAAATGCGACTAGGTACAAAAGAAGGTGTTTTTTGGAAGGCATTTGCTTGCCAAGCTAGTTTTCTTGTTTGTTGCTGGATTCATTGGAGAAAGATACATGTGTGGTGGGAGGAAGGAATTTTGATGGCATTAGTGGATGATATGGAGAGGAAGATTTTGTTTTAATTTTTATTATAATAATGGAATTGATGATAGCAATATTACTATTACATTCCTTCAAGTAATAACAATCTATCTAATATAATTTCATCATCATCAAGGAGCCAAAATTAATTCAATTATAAATTCTTCATCAAATAACAAAAAAATTCACAATAACATCATTCACAGAGAAGTAATTCAAAGATGGCAGGAAAGAGAAAGAAAGCCGACTCGGAAACATCATCAACCAAGAGTAAGAAGAAAAAGACAACATCAGATTCTGACTTGTTGGAAGTTGATTCTATTGCTCCAGATTTTGAAGTAAAGGATCAAGATGGAGAAACTGTTAAACTCTCAGAGATTAAAAAGACAGTGGTCCTATTCTTCTATCCTAAGGATAATACACCAGGTTGCAAGAAGGAAAATATTGCATTCAGCAAGTATTCTGACAAGTTTGAAAAGAATGATATCAAATTATTGGGTGTTTCTACAGATTCTGTCAAGAGTCACAAGAGTTTCTGTGAAAAGGCAGCTTTGAAACATACCCTAATTTCTGATGCCGATAGAGACATTTTGGAAAAGTATAATGCTCAATCTAAGAGAGCTGGAAGTAAATCAGCACGTAGAATAACCTATGTTATTGGAAAGGACATGAAAATTGTCAAGGTTTATGGAAGTGTCAAACCAGAAACACATGCAAAGGAAGTATTTGAAGATTTAGTAGGAAAGACAGAAAGTGAAGATGATTCTGAAGAAGAAGAAGAAGATTCAGATGAAGAATAAATTCCTTAACCTCAAATACATGTACACTTGTCATCCATTGAACTACAGTTTCTTAATATTTAATTTAGTAATTTCTTCCATCTCAGATTCTGAGTGCGCACTAACCCTTCATATTGTGCTCACGAATGTATTGAGCCATATCTAGTGGTCTCAAATTAAGCGTGCGTTCTTATTATCATGCTTTCGGGACTAAAATATCCTCTCTAGTAAATTCCAAACATTTCAAACATTTGACCACCAACACCAACACAAACGAGTTGAACAACTATTGCATCCACACACAATACTTAAAAACTCTCAAAAGAATCTCGAAAGGTAATATTGCTGTAAAAAAACGAGTCAACATCTACCTCTTAATATTAATAATATATTTAAGGAAATTCAACACAATAACAGATATTGGAAAATGGTCAAGGTTTTAATTCTCTTCTACTCTACATATACTCACATCTTTAAATTGGCTGAGGCCATTGCTGAAGGAGTTTCCATGGTGGAAAATGCTCAAGTGACACTCAAGAGAGTGCCAGAAACTCTTCCGAAGGAAGTTTTGGAAAAGATGGGTGCATTAGATGCTCAAAAAGCAATGGAACACATTCCAATTGTAAGTTGTTATATATTTAATTTTGATTTTTAAAACAAAATGAAAATATTGAAAATTATAATTGTGTTAAATTCAAAATAATTATTTCTATAGGCAAGTTATGATGAATTACCTCAATATGATGCCATTATCTTTGGAACACCTACTCGTTTTGGAACAATGGCTTCTCAAATGAAAACCTTCCTCGATGCCACAGGTCAGATTTGGACGAATGGAGAATTAATTGGAAAGGTTGGATCTTTCTTTACATCCTCTGCAACACAACATGGTGGGCAAGAGGTTACTGCATTAAATTCCATGATTCCACTTCTCCATCATGGTATGATCTATGCAGGTGTTCCATTTATTCCTGAGCTCATGACAATTGACCAAATTGAAGGTGGATCTTGTTACGGAAGTGGAACTATTGCTGGTGGAGCAGGTGAAAGAATGTTATCTGCTGCAGAGAAAGAGATTGCCAAAGCTCATGGTAAACACGTGACATCGATTGCCAAGAAAATAGTGGAATACAGCCCATTGAAAATGGAAACAAAATCTGAACAAGTTGTCTTGTCAACAACAAGTGAACAACCAATTGCAAAGCCAACATCAAATAGTACTAATAATACAGTAGTTAGCACAAGTACTGCAGCAACAACTACAGTGGAACCAAGTAAGCAAGCGCCAGTCCAAGAGAAGAGCTCAACTAATACTACGAATGCTAAAGAACAATCTGCAGTGAAACAGGAACAGAAAAAAGAAAGCTCTTGTTGTTTAATTCTGTAAATACATTTACCAAATTTTTTTAATTCTGTGTAACTATTTCAGAGTCTTTGTTTGAAAAAGAGTGTTACAATGAAAGGTTTCTTGAATTTGAAAAAAATGAGACCAATCCCAATCTGGAATCGTCCACTTTTTGAGGCCGACATTGCAAGAAGTATTCTTCTTTGGAACGAGTTGCGAATCCAATTCAATTTGTTACGACAAGCAAAACACAACTCTCGATTCTCCGATTTGATCATTTTAACCTGGGCAGATCAAGAAGATGAAGACACAAACAGAAAAGAGCTTGAATTTTGGGAGTGGGCATTTGATATTATCTTGAAAATCAATGAGTGATTATAAAATGCTCATAATTATTTTGATAATCATATTGCAATTGTATTATTGTAAGATGTTCGACTTGTTTGAAACATTTTGGCATGAACAAAGCTGGTTGGAGAAATTGTGAAAAATGTGAAATTGATGAATTCTTTCAACAATCCAATTCCATATTCGACCAGTGTTTCAGTTCATTCAAAGCCGTTTGTTGAGTTTTATTCGCTTGTGGTATTACCAAAGATTTGAGTCTCCACAGTTATCACAAAGAAGAGTAATTTAACTGTTGGACTATATGAATAATGGTAACCCAGATTATGTGTCCATCAAGAGAGCCTACCTATCTTTTGACCTGAAACTAATTGTTGATGCAGTGCTAATTTCATTGGTGTAAAGACAATCTAAAAATCCAATAGTGTTAAATTTCTTAAAATACTCCACTTTTTTGGGTAGTTATTTCTCTTCAAACTCGTTTAAAATCTAAGCAATGCTAAATAAAGTTAATGATAAAAGACAGCATTTCCGAGCAACATCCTTACTTTCTCTAACCAGATTATTTTTCTAGTGATGTCAATTGTTTCATTTCGCTTAGGTATTTGGCTTCTTCATCATCAATTAGATTGTTAGAAATATCAAGTGATGTCAATTATTTCATTTCACTTAGGTATTTAACTCCTTCACTAATTACGTTGTTAGAAATATTAAGCGATGTTAATTGTTTCATTTCACTTAAATATTTGAGTCCTTCATCATCAATTAGATTGTTAGAAATATCAAGTGATGTTAGTTGTTTCATTTCATTTATGAATTTGAGTCCTTCATCACCAATTAGATTGTTAGAAATATCAAGTGATGTTAATTGCTTCATTTCACCTAGGTGTTTGGCTTCTTCATCACCAATTTCATTGTTAGAAATATTAAGTGATGCTAATTGCTTCATTTCACTGATGAATTTGGTTGTTTCTATAGAGCCAAGCAAATTTCTAGAAAATTCAACATTAACAATACTATTCATAAATTGACTTTTCATCAATAATTCAATTCTTTTTTCTGTAAATTTTTTGTCAAATTTAATAACAAGTTTGGAACGTTCCTTGATCACATTAAAGAATTGTTTTGAAATTAAGGAACAATTATTCAAAATAAACCACGAATCATCAATCATGGAAATTATTTCAAAACAAACATCATCTGAAAATACTTCTTGTTGGAGTTTTACAAATTTTTTCTGTTTTGCTTCCTCTTCCGTATCTATATTATTGTTAGTGGAGATTTCCTCCTCCGAATTAATTAATTGATCATGATTTTGAAAATCTTGTCTCTTTCGTTTGCTCATTTTTTATCATAGTGATTTGAAATAATAGATATTAAATAACGGTTTTTTAAAGCGCATCATTTTGCCGCCAAACAAATATGTTGAAAAATCAAAAGAAAAAATTGTTTTTCTGGCAAATGATAACCAGCAAGCAGCAACAGTTTTGTTGTTGGACCATAGGAAAGATTGGCTAATATTTCAACACATGTTGTCATTTCAATACGATACAACAAATTTCTAACGAATAACAACAACAATAGTTAATTAACAAGAACAAAAAAAGCCTTTGCAGTTTCTTGGCTCTCCATCATCGAACATCATCATCTTCGTCATCTATTTGTCAATTGATGATGATGATGATAAATAGAAGTAATATTCGTTATTATTATCATCATAATAACAATTTATACTTCTTGTTATTATTAATTATTAAATTAATTCTTCTTCTGCTTGTTGATGTAAATTTCGGAAGAGCACACACCACGGATCAAACCATCAGATTCACTAGAGAGAATAATATTGCAGGAGGTGATGATGCTAGGGAGGGAGAATTTCCTATCATGGTCAGTTTGCAATATTCCAATAATAACAACATGGCAAGCTCAATTCACTTTTGTGGAGGAATTTTGATTAGTCCAAGGCATGTTTTAACAGCTGCTCATTGTCTGGCCAAGTTCTCTGACATTTCGAGGTATAGATTAGTGTTGGGAACGAGTGTATTGGAAAGGAGGTATGGCATTTCTAGAGGTGTCTCCAAACTTATTTCACATCCTCATTTTGATTCACATAGTATTAAGAATGATATTGGGATTATTGAAATGGATCAAACTGTTCCACTCATTAGAAATAGGATTGTAACCTCCTTCTTGGAAAATTCATCAGTACCAATTGACTCGACATCATTAATTGCTGGTTGGGGAATAGATTCTGATGGTGATACTACTCCAAGTAGGAAATTGAAAAGAACATTTATTCAAATTTCTCCAGTTGATATTTGCAATTGGAGATTGTTGGGAGCAACTGAACCGAATCAATTTTGTGCTGGTTATGGAGATGGAAAAGATGCTTGCCTAGGTGATTCAGGAGGTGGATTGTTTAGAAGGGTAAGAATGAATGGAGAGGTTATTTTCGTACTGGAGGGAATAATCTCTTATGGACCTTCCTTAATTTGTGGAGGAACAAATGTTGGAGTCTACACCAATGTCACTCATTATTTGGATTTTATTAAGAGTACTGTGCATCCTTATAGTATCAATACTCATGGATACAATATTGGTGAGGATAATGGATGTCAGTTGACCCCTCCAAATTTAAACTATTCTGCTGATCCAATTAATACTCGTCCAACCATGTTGCTGCGTAGCAGGACAATGTCTGAAGAGGAATTTCAAAACTGTACGAATAGTTATCCTTTTGAAAGCACCTATCTAATTGGTTGCTCTAATTTTATAGCCAGCTCTTTACACTTTACCTTGATTTTAATGTTTGGATTGTGGATTGTACTGTAGAATGGATTGTAGAATGTCATTTCAGAAAATTGTTTTAATAATTTAAGCGATTAGAGATTTGAGCATTTCAAAGAACGCATCTCTATTGAATCCGCAAGCAGCTGTAATTTCAACTTCCTTGCCACTATTTCTTTCGAGGTCAGTTTTTAAATATTCCACCTCTTTGATTAATCCTTCGAGAGGTTTCTCGGAATAAACTTTTACCTTTACATTTCTCATTTCAAAGAATGATGGATTGAATAGATAGGTTGCAGCTACAGGATCATAGGCATACGAATCAAATGAAATGGTGAGAAGCTTTTTGAGCATTCTTCGTATTGGTTCCAGTTCATCTTGCTGAACAGCTCTATCAGAGTGGACATGACTTGCTAATTCCTTAATCTGTTCTTGATTAAGAACCCTCAAGTTGGCCACATAAATACTCATCAACTCGACCTTTGTTCCAAATGCCTCTAATACAATTTCGGCTGCCTTTCCATCACAATAGAAATTCCATTCACTTCCATTCAGTAAAACATCCTGCTCCAGTTCATTAAATAATGAACCTCCCATAATTACAAGTTTTCCAACCTTCCTCAATATTAATTCTCTATCCATTTCCAATAATTTTGCAATGTTAGTCAGAGGTCCAGTGCATAACAGAGTGAAATATTGATCAGGGAATGATTTCATCCATTCTAACATGTCATTCAATTTCTCATACTCCTTATTCGAATTTAGCAAAGGTAATGCTTCCAACAAGTCAGCCATATTATCAGTTTTATATTGATATTCCTTCGTAAACCATTCTCCTTCACTAAAACAATGACCATGTTCTGGTAGTATCCGTTCTTGACTTCCACTGAAAATCTTGATGGATGACACTGGATCAATATTTAATGATGAAAATTTATGATCATCATCACCAACAATCAAATCGGAACATGAATTTAATATCCTTTCTACAATTCTAGCAGCGTGATTGGTGTCCAATTGCAAACCCTTCACTGTTGATACTGCTCTCAAATTCATCATCTTTCTATCATCATCATCACCACCACCACCACTACTACTCATCTTCCACAACAGCAAACACAGGGCAAAAACATCATCAAATCCTACATCGGTATCGAGAATGATGTTTTGTTCCATTTTTTTTCGAGTTTTTACTTTTAAAATGGAATTGAAAGAGACAATTAAGGAGGTTGATAATTTTTATGTTTGCTGGCAACAAATACTTGAGGATTTCAATTAGGTAGGTATGGATATGAGGTTTTTACTGGACTTTCCATCTGTTTAACTTGTCTCAATCGTTCAGTTCTTCTCTTTCTCAATTTGGCAACATGTGAAAGTATCATTCATGTTGTAATCTTTAACTTGTTATCATTTGATTTATTATTTCAGAATTTGACCAAATCAAGAGATTATTTTACAATCACTGTACAAAAAAAAAATGCACTAATATTTTCATTCACACCATGAGGCCACTGCATGCCACGGAATATTAAATGTGCCTATCATAATGTTGCTCACGGACCATCTGGATGGGTAAGAGGATTTAGTTTGAATGAAATTGGAACATACTATGCTATTAAACTTTTCAAGAAGAATATTAAATTGGGTGATTGGATTTGTAATCGCAAATTCAAGGAACTGGAGAAGAAAATCGACGAGTATGGATGATAGCAATTTGGGTGAGGAAGTAGATGAAGAGCAAGTTGAAGAAACACAGATAAATTCTCAAGACGAAACCAAGCAACAGCAGTTGCTGGAGTTTTTTTTGATTCGAAAGGGTGTGACTGTGTTGGAGCTTGCAAGACAAAGAAGTGTCCTTGTCAGCGAGCTGGTGTTGTCTGTAGCTGTTCTTGTCATAACATAAAGAAGAATACACAGTGTATCAAAAAGTAGTGGTAGTAATAGAATGGATAATTTTTTATTCTAAAGATTGTTGTAAAGTTTCCTTAATAGTGAAAGTTGATTAATGTAACAATAGAATAATACTGAAAATAATAATACTCAATAGAGAAATGGAAACTGAAACGCCATCGTTCAATCTATCAGAAAGAGTGTTTTTAGGAATAACCTTTCCACTATTGACATTCGAAATAGCAAGAACTAACTCACAATTAGCTCCATAAGCCTTTCCACTGCATTTACAAGTATCGTGAGCAATACATTGACCACTTCCTGAACAAACTGATGAATCAGTACTGGCAATTCCCTTGCATTTGAATAATTCACAATTATTTCCATAATAATTTGCTTGACAGGTGCAATTGTTTGGATCATTACAAGAACCGCGTCCAGAACAAACACTCGAAACATTATTCGAATTAATTCCATAACAAACTGGAATGCATTCAGATCCAGAAACAACATATGGAGCTGCACACATATTTCCAATCTTTCTAATTCTGTCATTATTGACATCTGCAATAAAGACATTATCATTTGAGTCAACTGCAATTCCTAATGGAGCATCAAATACACCATTAGTTGCCAAAGTACCATCACCAGAGAATCCACCATATGAAAATCCACCAAGAGTTGTAATCTTTCCATTTGCAAACACCTTTCGAATTCTGTAATTGTCAGTAAAGTAAATGTCGCCCTTAGACGAAACTGCAAGTCCACCTCTTGGATTTATTCTTGCAGCGGTGGCCAAACCTCCATCTCCTAAAAATCCTTGCGTACCAGTTCCTGCAACTGTAATAATTGTGCCATTTGTCAAAATTTTACGAATTCTGAAATTTCCCTTGTCAACCAAATAAATTTCATCTGATGGAGTGACAACAATTCCATAAGGACTATTAAGACCAGCTTGAGTAGCCAATCCACCATCTCCACTATAGGAAGGAGCAATTGTTCCATTAATACCAGCACTAAATCCAGCAACTGTTAAAACACTTCCATTTAAGGCAACTTTACGAATTCTTTGATTTTCCAAATCGGTGAATAAAATTTCACCTTTAGAATTGAAATCAAAGGTGCCTAGTGAGGCAATTGTGGCATCAAGTGCTAATACTCCATCTGATTCAAAACCAGAGGTAGCTCCATTGCCTGCAATAATGGAAACTGTTCCGTCTGTTGCCGAAATCTTACGAATCCTATTTTCATCCTGATCAGCAAAGTAAATATCACCATTAGGTCTCATAATGGCAGAAGTTGGATTTCTCAACTCAGTTTTGGTGTAAATTGTTGAAAGAACTCCATTAGAAAGCTTTCTAATAAGTGCATGTTTCGAATCAGCAATTAACACATCACCGTTTGGAGTAATGGAAACACCTTGAGGTAAAAACAAAACACCCCAACTTGAAGCATCATACCCATCACCGAATGTACCACCAGAATAGGTTGAAATAATTCCAGATAATGAAATCTTTCTAATTCTATTGTTCCATTCGTTTGCAATATATAGTTCACCATTTGGACTAAATGAAATTGAAACACTATAATAAATTTGTGCATTAAGTGCTGAACCACCATCGCCAATTGATCCCTTTTCACCATTTCCAGCAATTGTTGAAATTATTCCCTTATTAGAAATCTTTCGAATTCTGTAATTGTTAATGTCAACAAAAGTCAAATCACCACTGACAGGATGGAAGGCTAAACTATATGGACCATCTATCATGGCATCAGCAGCATTGCCTTCATCTCCAGAATATCCTTTACTACCACCTATAATTGTTGAGATTATTCCATTTTTGTCAATCTTTCGAATACGATTATTACCTAAATCTGAAATAAACAATTCTCCTCCATTATTGAAAGCAATACTACTTGGAAAGAATAATTGGGCGTCGAAAGCTGGACCGCCATCTCCACTGAATCCAAATTCACCTGTTCCTGCAACTGTATAAACATTTCCATTAGTTGAGATTCGTCTAATGGTATGATTACCAGTTTCTGACAAGTAAATCTCACCAGTCACTGGATGTTGTGCAATAGAAGCAATAGAAGTGAATCTTGTATCTTTTGCTGGAAAACCATCTGGAAGAATTTCAGAGCCATTTCCTGCAAGACACGTCAGAAATCCATTCTTGTCAATCTTTTTAAGCCTTGGACCACCATCCATGAAGAGTAATTCACCAGAGCTTGTAAGAAGGAGATCTGATGGACCAGATAATAGAGCATTAGCAGCTAATGTGCCATCTCCTGAATCACCTTGTACAAGATTTTTACCAGCAATGGTCGAAACCTTTCCATTTGAAACTTTACGAATGGTGTAATGATCATGGTCAGCAATGAAAACATCACCATTTTGAGCAATCTTTACACTGACTGGTCTTACATATGTGGCACCATCAGGTGGAAGACCATCTCCAACTGAATTAGTTCCTGCAGCTGTATTGACACCAACGAAAGGAGCTGGTCGAGTGGCAGCTTTAACATGTGTCAAAAACAAAGTATTGGAAACACATAGAATGGCCAACAACACAATTACCAATACGTGAGATTTATATTTCTCAAACATTGTTTGATTTGACTTTTTTTTCGGTTAGTTTGCCAATTTGTTAGTCAACTAAACCTTTCATACCTCCGAAAGGTTTAAATGGTTCGCGACACTTCCTTCCAGTTCACACAACTTGTCAACAAAAATTGCTGGATAACACAGGTCAACCGAGTGTGAAATGTTCGTTTCTTTCATTACCGATTTCCAATATTAATTGAAAAATGATCGAATTATGCAATTGTAAAACGGTTGCTGTGTATTAAATGCTGAGTAATATTGGATTGTATCAAATTATTGTAAACTTCTTCTCTTCGTTGATTGACCATACTAGAAGGTTACCTGCCAGTGAATGCTACTAACTATTTATTCGAAAGTCTATATATGTATTATTAAAAAAGCACTTCCTATTATGCTTTTTGCTTAGTATCACAATGAAGCTTCAAAGAAGCAATATAACCACTGGATTCAATAATGGCTGGTCAATCAAAAAAGTGACAACTGGCTTCTTTTTCTCACTTGTTGGTTGCACTGTATACTCAGTTTTGATAACAGAGGAGAAGTTTTCAATGAGGTTGGTAATCTGCGTTAATAATAATTTTACATTTGATGTAAGCCTTCCTAGCTCAGTTGGCAGTAGCGCTGTCCTAGTAAGACAGAGGTCTTGGGTTCGATTCCCAAGGGAGGCAATCTTTTAATTACAAATTTTGAAAGTTTAACAGTTTGGATTAAGCTTAATCCACATTTGTACATGGAAAAAAATTTAATCATCGGAAAAAATGTCTTCATCATCAAACAATGATTCAAACTCTAACAAACAAGAGTTTTATAATGAATTCAGAAAAAAGAAGAGGGAAAGTTTCTTCAAAAGACACTCCAAATCCAAGCTATTTAAATGGGCATGTATAGGATTTGCTGGATATTATACTTTTGTATTGTGCCAAAAGCCTTGGATTTATCATCCTAAAGCAATTCATAATGCCGATGCTTTTCAAGAACATTTAAAGAGAAGTGTAGAGAATTTTAATAGGAGATTCTGTCCAACTCCGTGGTTAATCAATACCCATGCTCAGACAATATATGGAGCAGCCTGTAGACACATTATTGATGATCAGGATGAAGCACTTTTCAAGAAGAAGAGAAATCAATATGAATTTGAAGATGGAGCAACTATTAATTTGGATTGGTTTGAACCTGCTAATACAACAACAACAAATTCATCATCTGATGGTGGTGCTGCTGCTGCTACTACTGGACAACAATCCGAAAGGAAAAAGACAACAATCTTTATTCTTCCTGGTTTATCTGGAGGAACAGGTGCTGTAGGAGTTAAACATTTAATTAGTTCGTTTGTGAAGGCTGGATACAGATGTGTTGTTATGGATTACAAGACTACATCGAATGAATCATCCACTATTCAACATGGTCATCATACTTTGCCTCCGATTGTTGGTGACTTGGATCCAATTGATTTGGATAAGCCAAAATCCACAAATCAAACTACCAAGGTAATTCCTGGATTGACTCACACTGTGAAGGATATTAGAAATGTTATTCAATTGGTTAGAAAGGAAGTTGGAAAGGATGAAACATTGGTTGGTGTTGGTTTCAGTCTCGGAGCTAATACTCTGTTAACCTATCTATCGGAACATGTTGGAAAGGATGCTCCAAAGAAACAAGGAGCTAAAAAGTTGAAGGACCATCATATTCATCTTCCTAATGATGATGGCGATGAATCGAGAAATGAATTTGCCTATGCAATTTCAATTGGTAATCCATTCGATTTGAATGCTGCTACTCTTGCTCTTCAATCAAACATTTTCCAAAGAATGATATACGATAGGGCCTATGCCAAGGAACGTATTGAATTATATGAGAAGAATAAGGAATTGCTTCCAGAAGATTATATCAAACTCTTACCAACTCTTCGTACTACCAGAGATGTCGATGATAAGATTAATAGACCACTCTGTGAAGGTAAATTTGAAAATGTGGAAAAGTTTTATGAATTCCACAGTTCTGGTAATAAGATGAAGAAGATTACAGTCCCAACTATTTGTTTAAATGCTCTTGATGATCCAATTTCAACATATTCTTCCATTCCTTTCGAGGCCTTTGTGAATTATGACAAGTTGATGCTTGTCACAACTACTCGTGGTGGTCACATTGCCTCTCTTGATGGTTTCTTTGCACCAAAGAAGGAGAGTTGGATGGAAAGAACCTCTGTACAAATTGTAAAGAGTATGGATGAATGGAGAGAAGGATTAACAAAGAGAACAAGCAAATTAGATTAATTTATAGTATTATTACTAACCTTATTGGAAATCGTCGTTCTGTATTGCAAGCTTGGATGAACTGTGATTGTAAATTGATTATTTCATGAATTTAAATTGAAAGATTAGAAAATACCAAACGATAGTATTCTGGGAATCATTATAAACACACTAGTTTTATTTGAAAGTGCTCAAGTCGTGAATAAGTTAATTTACATTATTTTCAATAATTATTTGAATTGCTTGTTTTAGCAATTACATTTAGAGTTGTTCGTTTGAGATGTTCCATCCTGAGTTGGCTTTTGAATATCTACCTTAGGTTTTGAAGGAATGGTATTTGTTGAAGTGTTACTATCATTCCACTTTATCAATTTATCCTTCCAAGCAACAAAGGCAATTCTATTAAATAATTTATCAACATTAATTCCTTCCTTAGATGAAACTTCCCAATATTCTGCCTTCAATTCCTCAGCCAATTGTTTAACTTCCACTTCATCAACATGTTTCACCAAGTCACATTTTGTTCCCACGAGATACCACTTGATATTTGGTTCCTCAGCATGTGTTTTCACTTGATTGTACCATCCCCTGACAGCATGTAAGGTGTCTGGAGCATTAAGATCAAATGTTAAAATGCAAGCACTAGCTCCTCTGTGATAGGATGTCGAAAGACTATTTTCCATTTAAATAAATCAAATTGTGTGAATTGTGACAAACCTACCTCTTAAATCTCTCTTGACCTGCAGTATCCCACAATACCAATGAAAATGGTATATCATATATTTTATATTTCTTAATATTAAAATCCATTCCTATTGTAGGTCTATAATTACTTCCAAAAACATTCTTTGTAATCCTAACGAATAAACATGTTTTTCCGACCATTGTCTCTCCCACAAGAATTACCTTTCCCTCAGCTAATATTTGAACAATATGAGAGAATAATTAATATATTTTCAAACTTGTATAATTATTCAATACATACGAATCGGAGAAGTGTGAGTGAATGAATTATTTACAGAATTATAAGATTCAATAATTTCCAAAGTATCTTTACTCAATTTATCATTGGTTTCATCACTGTATCATGCAAATGATTCATTCCGATCGGAATCAGTTTTTTCCATCATCAATTCATCATCAATTTAAATAATTTAAATATTAAATACAAACCTTTGCGAAACTCCTTGATAAGAACCTCTCTGATAATTATCTAGGGCAGTTACTTTTTCATCGTCATACATTTTTTTTGTATTTGGAACATGAATTAGAATTGGTTCCCGCCAATTTTAAATACAATTTAAAGAGTACAATAGTGATAATAATTTACAATTTAAATCTCCTCAAACACATCAATTTCCAAATATTAATCTTGGAATCGAATAAATTCAAGTTCATTGTAATTGTTTTTGATTTTGTCTTGATTTCAATTCCTTCCTCTTTGTAGGAAATTTCACATTTCATTAGGTCAATAATTTTGTAAATTGAATATTTGGAATATACAATTTTTCCTTCATTTCCAAAATCAACTGCTGAATGAATTGAAGAAAGCTGGTCAATTGGACCATTTACTGTCAACAAGATGAGTTGATTACTATTAATGGGAATATAAATCATTCCATGTTCTAATTTTCTCTTCTTGTAAATCAACTTCCCAAAAATGTACTTGTTAATATTGAAATTCACATCCAAAATCACCAATTCATAAATCAGAGTTTCAATTTGAAAAAACTTGGTTTCCTTCACATTCAACATTGAAATAATTCCAAAGTTTAAATTGATTATTGTACAAATTTCCTTTAATTTTTCCAAAATTGGATTAATGATTCTAATCTTGATCTGCTCATCTGATTCCCTTTTCAAAAATTCATCAAATATCAATTTATATCTTGGCATTCGTCCACAAAAATAACATGCCGATTCCTTTCTCAATTCGAATTGACAAAGAACAATGTAAGTAGAGAGGAAATCGTCACTGTTTAGTACTTTGATAAAATTTAAAGTGAATTCTTCTAATAAAAATTGATAATTATCGGAATTGATTATTTTAGAATATTGGGAAACTAATTGAGAGTTTGGTGAGACGAAATTTAGAAACTTTTGTAAATGTGAATTGTAGAATTGATTGTAGCGTGATTTATCGGTCGACATAGCTGCCTGTTGCACATGCTGAATAAACGAAACTTCAGTTTGAAATAATTCAATCACTACGTCAAGCTTGGTTAGTGGCATTTTTTTCAAATATTGATCTGATGCCACAAATTGATTTTTTAAGAGAGTATACATAAATTAAAATAGAAGGGGACCAGTGGGAATCGAGAAATATAGATGAGTTGCGTATTGCTGAATCCAATGCTATCAAGAAATGTAATCAGATGGAATACCATTTCAACAGTAAGAAGAAGGTAAAGGAAATGGCCTGCGAGAATTTGGAAGATGATAAAGACGATTGACGACTGTTTGTAAGGAGTTACCAAGCCGGAGTGGCTTTAGAACGTCTTTTGTTAATTAACTAAGGCTACCACACCAATCTCACATGGAGCTTCTGTTTATTTTCTGATGAATAACAAATGTTTCATTTCTTCAGCGGCACCAATTTCGGCTTTGAATTTGATCGCATCTCTTCAATGAACAGAGTCATTGCAACCTTACTGGCTCGTTCCAAGCGTTCTCTCTTTTGTTCTGCTGTTTCGGTTGTGGTTTGTGCAGGGTAGAAACGCATGATTATTTTTTTTGATAATTTTGAAAAGAAAGGTCAAGAGATTTAGATTTAAGGCAAAAGGAAATTTCACTCCTGGGATAGATTTGAATGTAGGGTTGAACAAATTAAAACAGAATTGAATAATTACAACAAGTGAATGAGATGTAAAAGGAAATGGGGACCAGTGGGAATCGAACCCACGGCCTCTCGCACCCAAAGCGAGAATCATACCACTAGACCATGGTCCCTTACACTTAATCTAATATAATAAGGTGATTTTACGTAGCTCATTCATTAAAAATTAAATAATACCAAAAATTTGCTAATTTTTACATAAATTCTTTTACGAATGATGACATCGAGATAGAAGAACAACAATTTAACATATACTAATTATGATACAAAATCTCTCGTGTGTTTTTACTTTAGTGTTGTTGTTTTTTAGTAGTAGAAAAAATTTACTTGGAGATGGCGTTACATCTTTCAATGACAACGGAAGCTTCAACTTCTGACTTATCGGTAGCTTGAATTTCCAAGGAGATACCAACCAACTTATCCTTAACAGATTGTTTAGTAGCAGCATAGACCATCTTTTTCTTGATTGGAGCCTTGACTGGAGCCCAATTGATAAAGATCATCTTTTGTCTGTGACCATCTTCGTTATCGTAGTGGAAGTCAACGACGGCATACAAACAGTCGTTATCTGGCAAGGAGTTGATGAAATCATCATATGAAGTACCATAGGCAAGCTTTTCAACAACGACAACTTGATCCAACTTGGCAGTCATACCAAACTTGATAGCTTGGGATTCCTTCTTCAATTTCATTGCGTTGAAGTCACCGACAACATCATCGTGGATTGGGACACCGGCCATTTGTATTGATTGTTTTGTGTTTTTGTTTTTTTTGAAAGAGTTGATTGGTGTGAAAAATTTAAACAACTGACGTGCAGGTTGACAAGTTGTGTGATGGGTTTGTGCAAAAGTTGGTTGAGACGTGGTGTGTGCAAAGATGATGCTGCTAAGTGTTCGTTGAAGTCAAGGATGTAACCTCCGAACCTGTCAATCACTTTACAATGAATTGAAGTGTTTCGATTGATGGATTTTTTGTTAGATTTGATTGACAAGCAAATCAGGTGTCTGGGAGAATAAAAGTTTATTGTTTATGGCGCCAATATTGATGTGAAAAAATTGAAGTTTCTTTGATGTACATCATCATTTTGCATGGTATTTTCGGTCATTGTTGAAAGGAAGTGATGCGTTTAGGTAGCACACATACTTCCTGGAATAAGGTCAAATTCAAAAACTTGGCAAAAGATACGCCGTAAGGGAGTCGAACCCTTGACCTTCAGCGTGTAAAGCTGACGATCTAACCAACTGATCTAACGGCGCTTGCATTCAATTTTCGAATTTATTAATATTGGCACTAAATCACTGTATCAAGGTAGAGCAACTGTGTAATGGAGGCATGACATTTATTTCACTGACAAGTACTCATTAGAAAATGTACAAATCGGTAATCACTGATTTCTTATCAATTTCAAAACCAAAAAAAATGTCAATAACAACTGAACTAAACCTTTTCATTTATAAACTTCCAACTTCCGAAGAGTTTCCAACAGTATGTATATTATTATTCATTAACTTTTCAATAATTCATCATTCTTTAGACTATTCATGTGAGAACAGTCACGTCGGATGCTGAATTTGAAAAAGTATTCGAAAGTGGAGATTCCGATATGAATGAACACGTTATTCTAAACATACCATTTCCAAATATTTCTCGTGAACACAAAATTGAAATTAAACTTTGTATGCCAGAAGTTAGACTGGAAAAGAAATTTCCTTTCAACTTGACAAGTGATGGAACTTTTATCTTGTTTGATGGCTCTCAAGGACTTCGTTTCAAACAAAGATTTGATGGAAACTTTGGTCAAGCTTACATTACATCTAAACATTCATCTCATGCTACTTCAATCTCTGAAAATTCAAAGAATTTCAAGAAATCTCCACAAAAAACTGGTTTCGAATATGATGTGAAAACTGGTGAAACTAATTATCAAAAAATTATTGTAAATGAAAAATCGAATAACACTAGCTCATCAACTTCAACAAGTCAAATTGGAAAATCAAAGAATGATTCAATTATTCAGGATTTGGAAAAATTGGCCTCGTTGAGAGATTCTGGAATTTTGACTGAGGAGGAATTTACGGCAAAGAAGAGAGTTATTTTAGGAATTTAGGATTTTCCCAAATAAATGAAATTTTAGACTTTGAATAATTCACTAAATAATTTAGAGTATTAGAGGAATGCGTAAATTATTTACTATTTGATCGTCTCATATTTTTAAGGGTGAGAGCATCTTTCTCTGTGAGAATTTGTTGTAAACCAAGTTGTTGTATTCTATCGTAGTGCTTGAACATAACTCTAAGGATGGTATCTGTTAATGATGTATGATGGTTTTGAACTGCCTTATCATAAACTTCCTGAAGATTACTTGGAGTAAGCAAGAGTGTCAAATTATGTTCACAAAACTCTTTCAAATCATCACAATCAAAAATGTTGGCAATTGCATAGAGCTCAAAAAGTGTATCAAGAGAAACAGCACAATGATTACAATACAAGAATGAGATGGCTTGTTTTAAACTTTCAAAAGAGACATCAAGCCCTAAATGAATCTGTGGACCATCTTGAACAGTCAATTGTTTGAGTAAATATGGCGATCTACTAGCAATAATTCCCTTGTGTGCATTAATTTGCTTGTCAGAATTAACCAAAGAAATGGTGACATCGGAGTAGTTTTGCCCATCTTCCTGAGCTTGAGTGAACAATTGTCTATATTCTGATCCAAGTTCTGTAATTTCCACATGATCCACATCATAATTTCCTACTAATTTAATTGTATCAATTTCAGACCAAGTGGATGTAATATTCAAGTCTACCCTTATAACCTTGGTAAGAACTAGTTGAGAGATTGGAGGAGAAAAATCTCTTGCTGCTGTAGCCGAAACATTTGTCACGACTGTTTTATCTTCCCACAAGACAATCCATTCTTCTGATTTATCTTCCTCTCCCTTATATACTTTACAAGATATTTTACAAGTTGATCCAGGTCCTAAGGTTTCATAAACATGAACTTCCTTTGCAATAACTGGCTTTTCATATTCTACAATAATGTGTTCAGGACCAGCCATTCCAGCAGGACACCAAGCAGTCACATTATCTCCTAAATTTGGATAACAAGTAGGTGGTCCAATAACTTGATATGGACACCATTGTTGAGTTCTATCATTTGGTAGTCCTTGATCATTGTAAAAAGTACTATAACCAAGCACATTACAAGGATATTGTTCCCTCATTTTGGCTTCGAATGGAATATTCTCCAACAAGACTTGACTTTCAGAAGAAACTTTATCGGAACCTCCAATAGCCTTTGCAAAATTCTTTAAAAACGCCTTCATGATGATACTATTTTTTCAATAACAATTGACAATTTGATCTACTATAAATTTCCTCTTCTTTTTTTAATGAAATCGACTGTAGTGATGAATTGCAAATAGAAGTTCTTCTTCCTACTACTAGTTGTTGTATTTTTTCAAAGTTTTGATTTGGTGTTTGGTTGGTTCAATGTTATCGTTATTAATAAAAACCAAGTTCATCATTAGCTTTTCCCAAGGTTCATCATTCTATGAGTTCAAGTTCTTCCTTTTTATTAAATATTATTTAGATATAAATATTATGCAAATATTTGAAAATTAATTTTCGGAATGAAGGAGTAAGAGGTCTTATTCAATATCCATTCGGCTTTCAGCTTTTTAAATATCCTTCTAAATGTCCTTAATTTTTTTTCGCTCAGTATCGAGTGAGGTCCTCAATAGTCAATTATAACATAATGGTCATCATGCAACCTCAATATTCAACTACTATGAAGTTAATATCACCACACCTGCACAAGACGCTCAATCAAAACAATCAGAAACTTTTTAGGAAAATCAAAAAAAAATACAACAAGACATACCTATACAACAACACTCACATCGGAGAGAATGTTATCCAAACTCTTGATTTTAGTGTTGGTGCCACTCGTGGCTTTCTTATATTATCAAAATATGGAAATTAAACAACAATTGTTGGTTGCTCAAAAGCAAAATGTTGTCGGATCCAAAGTGGTGGAAAAACAAGGAGTGGCTTCCTATCAAAAGTTTACTGATAAACACTATGAAACAATTCTTTCAATTGTTGGAGGAGATGAGAGCAGAGTATTTAGTACCAAGTTTGGAAAGAATATGGCTGATGCTAATCAAACACAAACTATTGCTAAACATACCATTGATGCTTCTCATTTCCATCGTGGAGAGGTTGACGTTTTGGTTTTCCCAACTAGTAATGAAGAAGTTTCCAAGATTATGGCCTTGTGTGTTCGTGAAAAATTACCAATTGTTGCTCAAGGTACATTGACTGGATTGGAAGGTGGTGCAGTTCCATATCATGGAGGTGTTGCTGTTAATATGAGATTGATGCGTTCAGTTCTCCACTTGTATGAAGAAGATTTACAAGTTAAAGTTCAAACTGGTATTAAGAAATCTGAATTGAATGAATATTTGGAAAATAAGGGATTAATGTTTGCTGTCGATCCTGGAAGTGACAGTAGTATTGGTGGTCAATTATCAACTGGTGCTAGTGGTACTCTCTCTGTTGCTCACGGAACTATTCGTGAAAATGTTTTACAAATTAAGGTTGTCTTGCCAGATGAAAATGGTACCATTATTACTACAAGAACTCGTGCTTTGAAGAGCAGTACTGGATTTGATTTGACTCACTTGTTTGTCGGAAGTGAAGGTTTATTGGGTATCATTCTTGAAGCTACTTTGAAGATTATCAGCAAGCCACCAAAGGTTTTGGCCAGTCGTGTCATTTTCAATTCTATCAGTGATGCTGCCAAGACTGTTATTGAAGTTAAATCAAGAGGTGTTTCAAATATGGCCAGATGTGAACTCATCAATAAGTATGGTATTATGGCTGTTAACAAGCAATTTAACAGAGATTTTGAAGTTAGTCCAACCCTCTTTTTTGAATTCCATGGCGCTGATGAAGCTTCATTGAAGGTTTCTTCTGAAATTGTCGAAGAAATTGCCAAGAAGCATGGTGGTCGTGAGTATCTTGCAACCACTGATGAAAATGAACAAAAGGAAGTCTGGCATGCTAGAAGAAATGTCTATTATGCTGCCTTCAAGTTGAAGGAAGGAAAGAAGGGTGATGTTAAATTGTACGTCACTGATGTCTGTGTTCCAGTTTCAAAGCTTGCTGATATTATTGAATTGAGTGAACGTGATGTTGTTGAATTCAATGAAAATCAAGCCAAGACTGGTAACTTTACTCTCCCACCTGCAATTGTTGGTCACGTTGGTGATGGTAATTTCCACTTTATGATTCCATACTTGGATAGCAACAAGCAAGAATTGGAAACCATCTTGCAATTCAATGACGTTCTCATTAAGAGAGCCATTGAAAGAGATGGTACCTGCTCTGGTGAACATGGTGTTGGTATTGGTAAGCAAGAAGGTCTCTACACTGAACATGATCCAGAAGCTGTCAATCTTATGAGAGTTCTTAAGAGAGCTATCGATAAGAATCTTGTTCTTAATACTGGTAAAGTTTTTGAATTGTAAGGAATTCAAGATAAAAAATTAAATTTTGTTTAATTATTCAACACATCTTTCTAATTTTTCTTAAACTCAATATAAGTAAACCTTTGTTTCTGAATCCCTTCTTGTAAATATTTGAATTTATTCAACTTATGTTAAATTCCTCAAATATCTAAATGAATTGTGATTCAACGAAAATAAAGAAGATAAAGATAGTTTGCAATGTAGTAAAAAGTTATACCCTGTGGGACTCGAACCCACAACCCCCGGCTCCGTAGGCCGATGCTCTTCCAATTGAGCCAAGGGTACTTACATTTAAGTGTTCAACATATGTGAAGAGTTGAATAAATATTGTTTAATATGGTTACATATGAATCAGTTGAATAATATTTTGTAAAACAGTGGTATGATGAATATTTGATAGGTTAATAAATTGAACATGAAGAAAAAAAATGGGAGAACATCAACATGATCACTCTACCCAAACACTTGCTGATAACACCAATGAATGTTCGATAGAAGCATTGCAGAAATGTCTCCGAGAGAAGGCTTCTTCCGAGTGGTTTAAAAACAAACCAGAAATGCTCTCGATTTTTGATGAATTTATTAAAACACCAAAACAAATTGATTTGACGAGGAAATATGAAGGACAAAGGGATGAGAAAAAAGGATTGGATAGTTTGAGAGGTCTAGCTTTGGAAAATAAAGTCGGTACTGAGGAGGATAATTCATTGGATCGAGGAAATAATTTCGGAATGGAAATGAAAAAATCAAATTCTAATGAAAAGCCTAAAATTAAGAAAGTAACACGGAAACAAAAGAAGAAGAATATTACAAGTGAGGAAGCATCTAGTAATGAAACTGTTGCTAATCCATCTTTATCTAATTTAGAAATTCCAAGTGAAATTGTTCCAATCAATAATTTGGAAAATAATTCAAAACAAATAAGAGAAGAATTCTTGGTTGAAAAAATTGATGAAACACAAAAACATGAAAAAGTAACAAAGCAAGGAAAGAAAAAGAGTAGTCCTTCCAAATCAAACAAGACCAAACAGGACAAAAAGAGAAAACAAAAGAAGGATGATAGATCAGCTCACAAAAAATTCAAAGTTATGGAACCTAAAGAGCCACTAGTCAAGGATTTCTGCAAATTCTTCCTTCACGGTAATTGCCATAAGGGAGATAGTTGTCCATTCAGTCATGACAAGAAGACTTTCCCATGTAAATTCTTCCACTTGTACAATTCATGTAAGAAGGGTGACTCCTGTGAGTTTTCACACCACACGCCACTGAGTGATGCTTATAGACAATTGCTAATGAATACTGAAAAGAAATTTGCACAAGAACCAGCAAAGGAAGAATCATCCAATCCAAATCCTATTCCATTTCCTCAATTTGAAAATTTACAACAATCTCCATCATTTACTTTGAATAATAGCACAATAACCTCATCAAATCCATCATTTCCATTACCTGGATTATCTGGATCATCTTCAATACCCTTTCCAACAACTTTCTCATCAAATTTGGAAGAAAATTTCACTCCTACTGATCCAACACCTGAATTGACTACAAATACTCAACCAATAATACCCATCACCTCATCACCATCCCTTCCATTCACCAATCCATTCAGTAATCCCTTCATTCATCCCAATAATTACTAACCTTTTTTGAAAGAATCCTAGAATGACCAGTTCCAAAAAAGAACCGCCAAATTCATCTACGATGAAAAACTAACTACAAAAAAAAAGAAACAACTTTGGAAGGTTGTTTTTAAAGAAGAACATTTTCGGCAGGCTAGAAACAAGTTGATTTTTTATTGCTCAATGCATTAGAAATTATTTAGGCAGAGCACACACCATATTTTCAACACAGAGAATAATTGTACAGATAGATTAATACGAGTAATTTAATATAAATAATATAGAAGAGGTTTAATAATAATAATTGAAAATACAAAATGGCAACAGCTGAGGAATTACCAAGAACACCAACTCCGAATTATGGATTGAATGATTCGATATCGATGGCTGCTGTGGAGGAAGGGTCTAATTTGAATATTTCAGGTATTAATAATGCATCGGGATTGAATAACATGTCAGGTATTGGGAATATGTCAGGAATGAATCTAGATTCATCCTTTGCCGATCCAAACATGACTAGGGACTCTAGCAGACCTGCAACATCATTATCTGGAAAGGGATTATCCTCCTCAATGATTTTAAAACCAGAAGATATTCCTCCTGATATTATCAAGAGATATACTGATGCATTTAAATTATATGAAGCTAAAAAGACGATTAAACCAGGTAAAGCACAACCACCTGCTGAAGGAGACGATAAGAAGGGTGCAAAGAAGGGAGATGATAAAAAGAAGAGTGCACCTGCAAAGAAGGGAACAGATAAAAAGGGAGGAAAGAATGATAAGACTGTAGTTGAACCAGCAGTGCAAGCTCCTCCTCAACCAACATTTACCATTTTAAAAGGTCACGTTTTGATTTCTGATTTACTGACACTGATGAGAGCATTAATGAAGAATCCAAAGGAAAAAGATCTTCCTCTCTACCTAAGCATACTTCCAAATTCTGAGGAAGTAGTTAATAGATGTCAACTTAATCTTGATGAATTTTTAAGAATTATGCAAAATGCACCAATTCCTAATCAAGACGATCACTTTAAAATTTTGGATGCTTTTGAAACTTTTGACGATGATTTTAAGGGAGAATTTGAACCTGAAAAACTCAAATTCATTTTAGCAACTATGGGAGAAAAGGATTTAATGACACAAGAAGAAATTGATGAAATTCTTCTTACATTCACCAATCCAGAAAACAAGAGCATTGCCTATGATGAATTCTTAAAGACCTGTTTGTCTAACACAAATGTACACGATCCTCCTCCACCAAAGACTGCTAAAAAGGGAACTAAGAAGAAGGCAACCAAATAAATATCATCTATTTGCTTTTACTTTCCTATAAAATTACAGTGTCTAGTTTATTTCAAATTGAATCTTTATGTAAATAAAATAAAAGAAAACTCTAAATTGTAATATTTATTAACGTCTCTGGTCTACAATGAGTACACACATTTTGGCGATCGACGATTGGCGAAAATTGCCACAGTATTTCACTTAATTAAACGATAAGTTTGTATTGTTTCATTCTCCTTTCTCAAATATTTCTTTCTGGAGATTCTTGTTATGAGGAATGAAGGAAATCCATTCCGTACAATATATCCTCTCATACTATGCTTTCAAAAGAAAGATATTTGAAAACATGTTATTCCCTATGCTTAAAGTGAAAATTTGATGCAGTTCAATAATTCTTTATTTAATGAGAAGGGCATGTTTGTGAATAAGTTTCAAACGCATAACTGGATCCAAAGTATTGAGGAATTGGAATCTGGATGGGCAACAACTGAGAGTTGAAATAATTTGAGAATGATCCTTTGATGCTTCTAAATGAATGGAATCAACAAGAGTGGCCACTTGAATAGGATCACTTGCAATGGTCTTGTTGCTTTCCAACCAAATATCAATAGAATGAAAGATGCATCTCAAAGGAGCTGTCTTGGATTTAGAGCTGAGGAAATGTTCTAAGAGATGTTGATTAATTTTTCCAAACGCAAATTGATTTGAAATCTTGTCAATTCCACCAACTACATTGTTAATAGAGGTGAGGAACAAACTCATTAATTCAACATTAACCGTACGACCTTCAGTATAGTAATTATTGAATTTAGTGGCGAATAAAAGAGCATGTGGTTGTGTAAAGCTGTTACAAATCAAGTTTCTTAAAATTCTCATAGTACTCAATAAATCCAATTGATTGAGAAGAACCAGTAAATGGAATGAGTGATTAACATGCACTTGAGTTGATTCCCTAACAATACATTCAAACAAGTGAGTCAAAACTTGAGCATCAATTTTTCCAATACTTGATTCAAATTCCTCAGTAGAAATTGTGAGAATAAACTTGTCAGAATCCTTAACAATCTTATTCTTGACCAATTTATCGAATTTGTCGGATAAATTAGTGATTAGTACTCTGTTGCAACTTAAAGTAGTGTATACTTTGTCATTGGAAAGAATCTTAATATCCAAATCGCTGAAATTAGTGCACTTTTTAATCAAATCAATACCATTAGGACCACTAAGAGGAATATAATCTCCAGTATTGACGGTAGAGGTTTGGAATACGGTAGATGTACAATTCAAATTAAAACCAACAGATGGATTGCTGTTGCTTGCAGTGGTGGCTTGAACAGAACCAAATGGTGATGTACCAAATCCTCCAGTAGAACTAGGAGCTTGTGTAGCTGAAAAAGATCCAAAAGTTGCACCAGTGCTTGCCAAAGGAGGTTGTGTACTTGTAGGATTTGGTGTTGTACCAAAGCAGGAACCTGTTATTGGTTTGGTATTGTTACTTGTTGTTGTTGTTGGAAGTGGTTGAAAGGAAAATGTAGTTGCTGAAGGTGTTGTGGTAGTACCAAAGGAAGAGCTAACTGGTTGAGAAGTTGTAGTGGTTGTTGTGGAAGAAGTGTTGGTATTGGAAGTGGAAGCAGCAGTTGTAGCAGCACCAAAGGAAAAAGAGGAAGTCTCACTAGCACCAAAATTCAAACAAGTTTGTTTTTCTAACATGACCATTTTCTAATTATTATTATTATGAATATATTTCTAATGAAGTAGTTATTATAACACTATCAACTATAATATTATTGAATAGAGTTATTTTGTTTAATATATTGATGATCTTGATTCGGGATACTTCTCCTCTTCATATAGTTTGAAATAGTTTCTAGAGGAATTACCAAAGAATTTCCTTCATGATGATGAAGTGAAACTCTTGCAGAGGGAATTCATATTATTGTGTTGAATAGAAATATTTTTTTCCAGCTAATTCTCTTGGAGGGAATTTGTGTAACGGTTAGATTTTTAATGATGAATTAAAGGGATCATATATTAAGTTTTATTTTACAGAGCAAAGTTGATACCACGAGGAAATTGGAAGGAATTCATTCGTTTCATGGTTGGTGATTTGGCTGTTCTTCTCATTCTCACATTCTGGAAAGTTGTTCTACCACTCTCATAACAATAGTCATCAGAAGAGGAGGATGAAGAGTTCGAACAACACAACGATGAATCAGAACTATCATGATAGTAAACCAATTTGCTATTCTCCAATTGGGAAGAAATTATTCTTGTCCACTCCTTTTCAATATCAATGACTCTTTGAACCAATTCTTTAAAGATGGTGAGCAGAGATTCGGCTTGCACAGTCTCTGTGGCTGGTTTGGAGGTGAAAATACTCTCGGAGGTTGAAGTTACTGATGATGGAGAAAGATCTGGATGAATATAAGAAGCAAGGCTTTCATCATTTTCGTGTTGATTATTATTTGAATTTGTATTTTCTGGTGTCTCGGATAATGTACATTCTGAATTAATTAATTGTTGTTGTGATGACTCGTTGTTGGTTGTTGTTGTATATATTACAGAATTATTATTATTACTATCGTCTTGTTGGTTTTTGATCATTGTTGGCGAATTGTCATCAACACAGTTATTGTTATTATACAGAGAATGTCTTTTAGCTACGAGTTTATGGATGAACCATTCTGTCAGCAAGATTAAATAGTAGCCAACTGTCAGCAAGTACATGCTCATCATGAAGGAAAGCAAGATGAAATTACTATTCGAAATCGATTGAATTTTCAATGACATGGAATGATCATTGAAATAGTTTTGTGTGGCAATATCAGAAGTGTTTATCATTGTGTTAGGATTGTTGTTCTTTTGTTTTGATTGTAATATATGAAATGAAGTCGTTGCTATTTATTATCATGATTTGCTTCAATTTTCTCAATTCAGGGAAAAAGAACGACCTTTTTTAGAAAGAAGTGAACACGGAAGATGCAAGAACACCAACCACAAAAAAGAAAGTACTTTTGGATTAAAATGATAAGAGACCAATTGGTTACAATGATCTGTTTCAATAGATGGCATACAAGGTCAATAATTTGGTAATAAGTATTATTGTAGTATTGTAATACAACGACAATTTAATTATCATCAGTAGGATCATAATAACTGTCTTCATGTATTACTAGGACTAAACCTTTCTTCAAGTTGCTGTATCCATTCACCCACTTATTGATTACTTTCATCGATGAACAGATGAGTAGATCTTTATTTTCATGCTTGATATGTGGTGAAATAATTCAGAAACCATCAGTTATTTTCCTAATTGAAAAAGGAACCTTTCTCTACAAATTGATATGATCCCTTCAACATTTACGATCAAGATGCAGTTCATTACTATTCATTATGATATTCATTTGGATTTCATACGGTCAAAAATTGATATCTAGAATGTTGTCCTCATCACCATATTCATCAATATTACACTTTTTGATGAGAACTGTTATTCGGCAATATGATCACGGCAAGACTTGACCAAGACAATAATTAGTATTGGTATGACTATTAATATCTTAAACATTTATCTTCTGTAAACATTAAGATCCGAATTAGACTCCAAAGCGCCATAGAATCTCAATCTTCAGAAATGCGTGCTTATTAAAATATAACACACAGTATTAAGATTCATTGTTGTGCGAATAGCAGTGTGACCATTTGTGCTACCCAGGTGTCTAAAAACAAATTTGTCCTCCTTCCGAATTTGCTGTTGGGTTGCAACAGGTATTGTTGATGTTTCTCTTTCAAAAAACAAACCAACAAAACATCAATAGGCAACAATATAAGATTGTTTTATTAATCATTGGAACAAAGTTCTGAGAGGAGCGTATTATCCAGACTCTGGTCGACTTATCACGTGTTCTCGTTAGATTTTACCAATAATTTTCAATTTACCAATTACTTCCTTTTTAAAACAACACAGAGGAGATTTGTTGTTGTGATTAGGAAACTTGTTGTTGGACATTCTAATCTGCTAGCAGATTCAAGAACTGGTTCACCACATTCATTGATGATTTGTTCTGTAAACAAATATCAAATTCCTCATCAGCATCGCCTTCATCAAAACCAAGAACTTTTTCATCATGACGAATAATTCTTCAAATACATCATCAAATAACAACAATAGCAGTGATACCACCACTATTGAGAGTAATAATTCATCATCGGGCAGCAAGACCATTCTGCACATATTCTATGATTGGCTTCTTTGTCTGTTGAATTTAATTCAATTAATATTTAGTGTTGGAAGATTGGCCAGTGGCCTCGGAAGTGCAGGAGTTGATGAAAGGAATGAAAGTCTGGTAATGACCAATTCAATTCTCCAACACTTGTTAGCACAGGAAGAAAGCGAAGATCAATTGTACAATCATTCCCATCTCGAGCTTTTACATGATGATAGAAACTTGTCTCGTTCCATCTCTATCAAAATTTCCAATATCAATCGAAAACTTTCAAAGAAAGAAAGTGCATTCAAACGAGCACACAGAAGACATACCATTGTGGGAGTTTGTGTAGAGTCACCATGTGATGAAATTACTACGAGAAATTCAATGGATGAATCGGCAGCCAAAGAATTAACAAGCTATGGCTGCACAGCCAAATGTCATACTTTTCACACCTCAGCTTCAAAAGATGATATTCACACCTTAATGAATCATTATTTGGATCCAACATTGTGTAGAAAAGCAATTAGCTTTCCAACATCACCTGCTGAGATGAAATCCTCACCGAGAGTGAAGAGAACAACAATCTTTTGGAAATTGGATCGATCTGAGCTTGTGTTTAATTCAGAGAGCTCTTCAATGAATAATACACCAAAACATTCGAATAATAGGCAAACACAATCATTTCAACAATTGGGTGGACATAATAACTGTAGTTCGTGGAATGCAATTGAGACGGCAGCATCACCTAGAAACCAACAAGCAACCATCACATTCGAATCACCAAAACATGAAGACATTTCAATGAAATACAATTCATGGACGAGTGGTGACATACCCAAGACAAAAGAATTAACAAACATGGCAATGGGCAAAGTTTACGGTGAACTGAAGAATAATGAAGAGCCAAATATCGAAACCTTAGCTACCAAATGCGAATTAAATGCAGACGAAAGGCCCCAGAGAAAAAACTCAAAGCTCAAAACAAGACGTTACCAAAATGAAACTAATTGTCTTCAGGACGAGATCCTTAATTTTGATAGAAATGTACCTTCTAACACAGAGGCAATTCCAATGCATTCTCAACATCATCACAATTATTTGCAAAATTTTACAATGGAAGAAGTAATTTACCTCAAGGAAAGGTTAGAAAATTACAAATTTCCGTAATTCAATTCTTGGTGTAAAACAACAATAATGAATCTAACCTAGTTCTCGAATCACCTCACCCCAAGAGAGACTCAATAGTGTGAAGAGTTTCCATTCTTACCAAGTTGGTTAAAATAGACGCAATACTTTTTTGCATCTTTTGCACACCAGTTCAGTTGAGTGTTTACAATGAGGAGTGACTGAAATGTATAGAGTGCCTTCCTTAAAGGTACTTTGTGCACAAATGTTTTACCCCTAAATTGTCAACCCTGCCTTCCTTTCTTACTTTTTGTCGCAATAAGAAACAAAATAGCTAAACACTCATCACAACATTATAGTTTACTCCAACAAGCAGTAAAAAACAGTCCTCTCAGTAACTGTGCGAATTTTTCTTCACACACTAATTGTTTAAAATACATGTTATATTCATGATGATACATCTTTCTCAATTCAAAACGAAAAGAGAAACTAATCTGAACGAAACCTTGTTGGATGTTTCATCGTATATTGATGAAACTAATGATGAACAACAACAGCTAACGACAATAACCGAAGGAGATTCCACTACACCATCAACAACTCTGAATCCTGATGAATCTACGAGCTCCCTTTCTTCCACAACATCACTATTTACCTCCTACTCTGCAATACCTATTAGTCGAAGAACATCAACAATTTCTTCAACAACAACATCAACCATTGATAATATAACCTCTGCTCACTATGATAGAAGAGCAAGTATTTCACAATTCATGAATGACATGTCAAAACAAGAACATTACATGGAGCATTCAGAAACATATCCTTTTCATGTAGATGTGCAGCAAAATAATGACCATGCACATGCAGTAATGAATGAAAAAACATTCGAAACACTAATCGAAGGTGATCATAGCACGAGTAATAGTAATAACACAAAAGAGGAAGATAATTCAATAACAATACCAACGATTAATACATCTAATAGGAAGCCATCACGATCATCATCAATAACGATAACTGAAGGAGCAGAATCATCTCTGAGAGAATCAAAAAACAGCTCTTCATGGATTTTTGGCATACTAGTTAGCATGTGGAGCATCTTGGTTTGGCTGTCAGGTTGTGTCATTTCCATTGTCAGAGCCAGTCATCACATGTCTGCTTTGGATGAAATTTGTTCCTTCGATTCTCCAACCTCATCTACCACTAATTCTTCAACATTGGGTCATGATAATCTTCTCTCTGAATGCCTCAATAATAATCAGGAAATGCATGAACATGATTTTACATGGTGGGGAAAAATCAGTACAAATGCTGCTTCCACTAATAAGAATCATTCACCATCTAAGGCAATGACTGTAAACGACGCATTTGCTCAACAGAAAAAACCATCTTCAACTCTCTCTATACCGTACCTTAGGAATTTTACACATTTACTGAAAAGTTTTTCGTTTTCCTCTCTTGTGCATACTGACAATTGCAGTAATGAGGAAACAAATCAGGAACGAAGAAGGAGCAAGAGTGATCCTACCAGACATGGTTCAAGGGACGATCTCTCAACAACTTCAACAGCTCCAAAACTATCTCTCAGCAAATCATTTTCAAATATTGAGGAAATTAGAGAGCTCAAGAAGAGATTGGAATTATATTCATTTCCATAGCACATTGAATGTATGCACAGGATTTTTGAATTTTCGCCTCCTCTTGATCATACAGTGTATGATTTAAACATTAAGAGAAAATTATTTGCTGGATTCTTACAAGCAATACATATATGGATGCATTAATTTCTAAACCTAGAAATGTCTTTCCTAGCACCTTAATAGTTGGATATTTCGATAATTTTAGTTAATAACCGTAGTCACGCATATACGCTACGCACATATATTGCGAGATAAAACAACAGAAAAAAAACACTCAATCACCCTCAATACAACCTTGTTGTTTTTTCTTATTAGCACCACAATCTCTCTCTTTTAATATCTTCAAGGGACTATTAATATGCTTGATGAAAGTCATGCGAACGTTTCCTTGCAAACAATCATCTCATCACAACCAAACTCTCATACCATTCTCTCTCCTTTAAAAAGTATGAAAAGATTCAAGCTTGAGAGTTGTTCTAATGCAGAACAACAGGATGTAATATCATCGCCTCCAACAACACCATTAACGCCAATCCAGGCAGTGAATCAAGAATATTCCCCTACAATATCTGCGCTTACAAATTCATTATCATCTTTGAACGATGCGTCATTCCAACATGTTGAGAAGGATAACCAAGATCAACAACAACAAGTGGCATCTTTGCCAACTACTACCTCTTCTTCCCCAATTACATCTTCTCCCTCCCTGCTCTCCAAAATTTATCTCTACTTCAGTGTCTTTTTGAGTCTCTTCCTTCAAGTTTTCAAGTGTGAGAGCATGTTCATGCTTGTAGACCTAGATGCGCTTTATCCTACCTCTCCATCAATAGAACCATTGAGTGAGACATTCAAAGAGAGTGTCACTTCCACAACATTTGATTCCTCTTTCAGTTCTGTATTTTCAGGTACCTCTCTTTCTGATTTTACTGAACATGTTGTTCCTCCTCAAGTATCCTCCATTTGTACCAACCAAAAACCTTGTAAACCTTCCCTCTCACGTAAAAGTAGTATCGTTATCCTTGTTGATAATGCTCCAATAGCTCCTTCTAGTAAGGAATCGAGGAAGATGTCAATCAGCCTCATAGAACTTGACACACCAATATCTATCTATTCAGATGATGATCCAGATTTTGATACTTATAGTAGCTCACAATGTTTGAGTGATGCTGTGAGTACAACCACAGACTCACTGATAGATATTGACTTTCTTTGTTGCAATGTCAATACATTCACTGCACCAGCCATTCCTCCAAGAATGTTCGGCAAGAGAGCTTCTTCACCAAAGTTCTTGGCTGCCTTGAATTCAAAAGATGCCTTTGTCAAGCAAAATTCTACGAGTTCTCTCCTTAGAAGCCATGTTAATAGAGAAGAATTATTCGAATTGAAGAGTAGACTCAATTCTTTTAAATTTCCTGTCAAGGATGACGAGTAATTGTTACAATATAACAATTTCAAATGTGAGATGAAAAGGTATTCCGTGAATATGGAATGAAATCTCATAATATTATATAAATATATAAAAATAAAACCTATAAATATATTCCTCATGCTTTGAACAACAATGCCTACTAAGGAGATTGATAATAAGACAGTAAACTATTATCTTGGACAATAAATAACTCTTCGGAATTAATGATAAGGAAATATACAGTAAGGTAACGAAAATAACCCGCCAAAAGTTTATCAAAATTAAAAAAAAACAAAATGACCGACACATCCTCAACAATCGGGAGCACAACAGCAGGCCTTCAGAATAATTCTCTCCTGATGGATGAACAACAACAAGATGGTTACGTTACGGAGCAAGTGGAGGAATCCATGATTGCCAGTAGTATGGGAGATGTCTCAATGATTCAACCACCACCAGTCATTGAAATTGATCTTCCTCCGGAATTGATTAAGGAATATACAGACGGATTTAAATTATATGAACAAAAGAAAACTATTAAACCATCAAAACCAACACCTGTTGTGGCAGACAAGGATCCAAAAGCTAAGGGAGCAGTAAAGAAGGAGGATCCAAAGGTAAAGAAAGTTGCTGATAAGAAGGGAGCTGCTGCACAAGTAGAGGAACCTCCACCAGGTCCTCAGTATGATTTTACATTGTTGAAGGGACACGTTTTATTGTCGGATCTATTGACTCTGATGCGAGGTCTGTTGAAGAATCCAAAAGAGAGTGAATTGAATCAATATTTGAGTGTTCTTCCAAATTGTGATGAGGTAATAGAGAGGAAACAAGTTACATTGGATGAATTTTTGAAAATTATGGCATTGAATGATTTACCAGATCAGAATACTCACTTTGATATTTTGGATGCTTTTGAAACTTTTGATACAGATTTTAAGGGAGATATTGATCCAGAAACTTTGAGAAATGTCTTATTAACGATGGGAGATAAGGAATTGGTTACTAAAGAAGAAGTAGATGAAATTGTAAATACGTTTTGTAATAGAACAACCAAGGCAATTTATTATGATGATATTATCAAGACTTGCCTTTCCAATACCGAGCAAAACATGTCAACAATGGCAACTGTTATTTCTGCAACAACAGCTAAATCACCAACGTTAAAAGAGAAGAAGAAACCAGAACCAACAAAACCAATAAGAAGATAAAACTATTGAATTTAATTTGTATAATAATTGTTTCAGAACTTTGATAATATTTTGATTAAAACGAAATGATTTAGTAATTAAGAAACAAGAAACATTTCAATCTAATCATCAACATTAACCATAATGAGCCCTCTTGTTGATTTACATGAACCACATGAGAATGCTCCATCATAATATTGTCCTTTGCATCTAGCTGAACAAGTATACACATCAGCTTCCCAAACTCTTCTGTAGAAATGATTGTAAGTGAGTTTGGAACCTTCTGGGTTGGAATCTTTGGAGCAACAAGCAAAGCAACGACATGCAATGGCTGAGCATTTGCATGGAAATTGAGGTCCAGTTGTGGATGGATGGATTGTCCAATCAATCGCTTGAGGTTGCATTTCTTTTTGACAACAGTTTGGTCGTTGAATGGAGGAAGAACAGTTTGGACATTTGGCCGTTCCTTCGAGTGAATTAATCAATAATAGCTCATTACACTTGACACAAGTGAAACCGCCAACCTTTGAATTACAAAATACACATGAATAGGCAATTGGCTTTCCAAAATCATTTTCTGAGAGCAATTTCAAAGAATTATCAATTGGTTTTGGCAATTCATCTTCTCTAGATTCTAGCTCAATTGGGCCGTTCATTTCCATATTTTCACGTTCTCTTGCGCTCAACAATAATTTCAATCTTGGATGAGAATGGAAGAAATTTCTATAATCTCTTAATGCCATTCTCAAATTTGGAACAACACGAGTTGGAATTGCAGTAGACACCTTATATTTCTGTACGAGAAGTCTCAACTTAAACAAGGTGTTTACCATTAAATTAAGAATATCCATGTCATAAATATCATCTCTAACATATTCCTCAGCAAAGAGTTGTGAACAGGTTCCTCTCCTATCAGGATGTTCCCAATTCTTTGAAGTCAATGCAGAATATGTGGTACTATTTAAGGACCAACTATTTTCGCCTTTGAATAGTTTAAATTCAGTCTTTCGCTTTATATCCATCACTGGTAAGGAGAGATCAGTATAATGCAAAGCTTGACCAACATTGGTATACAGCTCAGTATGTAATAACAAATCGTGACTCTCCAAATATTTCACCAATTGACCAAATGTTTGATATTTTGTAATTTGCGGCCAATAATACATGTCCATTCTCAAAATATTATACAATAATTTACAACTTGTTAACATGGCTTGCAATTCCTTCTGATCACAATAATCCAATACTACTCTAATCAATTCGATTGGCAAAATTAACTTTGAATCCACCGATGAATTATCAACCTCACCATCATTAAGAAATTCCTCACCAAAGAAAACTCTATTAAATGATTCATAACTCTCCGTAATGAATTTCAATTGTTCGGAAGGTGCTGCTAGTTGAGGTTTTTCATCCTTCTTTGCCTCGGATGTTGTTAATCTTGATGGTGAGGATGAATTATTATTTGTTTGATCATCATCAAATCGATCGCCTCTATGATTAGGGCTGAAGGCGCCGAGAGCGCGAGATTTAGAGTTTCCCATTTTTTTTTAAGGTTGAACTTTGGAACTTGTACTTTTTTGTATTGGAATACAGATCTGATGTTTGTTTGTAATATTGATGGTAATATTGATTTTAATTTAATTAAAATTTAATTTTGTTGATTATTTCTATTTTTGTATTCCAAATTTTGAGTAGTAGTATGAGAAGCAAATTGGCGCAGTGGAAGCGCGATGGGCTCATAACCCATAGGTCCTAGGATCGAAACCTAGATTTGCTAAATATTTTAAATATATTATTATTTTAAAATTCTAAATTTGTTATTTCCATTTTTAGAAATTTATTTTATTCTTCAAATACTAATGATTACCATTATTCATTAAACAAAGCACCAAGAAAACAACACCAACAATACTCAACGCAACACAGACCACCACCAAAACCATCCCAAGAATCGAACCCAAAACTGCTATAAATGGAAATACACTTTGCAAAATAAACGAATCCAAAACAAAACCAATTAACAACACTGAAATATGGACCATACTTAAAATAAGGAAAAGTAGCAGGCCAATTCCTCCTGCATATCCAATCGATACTAACAGCTTGGAACTAGAAAAAACTTCAAAAAATATTGTAATGGAAAGTCCAATTGGAAAACATAATAAGGAAATGTGAATGGGAATGAAAATGATTGAAAATGGAATGTTGACCAAGTATTCGAATCCATCAATTTTGGAGAATAGTAAGATGAGGAATATTTGAAGGGAAAGCATCATGATTCCAAAGAATAAACTTGGAATTGAAGTGAGTGAATTTGATGTTGTGGACAAACTGTCAAATGTTAAATTAATTTTCGAATTGACTGAAACTTACTAGACTCCAAAGGAGGGTAAACAGCAAACGAAAGATAGCAATGATATAAGCAGGAATTGCAATATAGCTCAATAATTCTGAATCAGGAAATAGCATACTTTAGTCCACCAATTAGAAACATGTGAGGAAGCCAAGTCCACAAAATAAAATAAACTTCCATAAAAGGAAGGAATTGACAAAATTCCAATTGACAACCAAGATATCAACCAATAATATGTTCCAATTTCATTTGGAATGTACTCATCCATCGAAAGTGCAATAAGAATTAATCCTAAAATAAAAGATCCAATCAAAACTGCAAAAAAATAATAAATTAATTTCCATAATAGTTTTCTTTCATAGTGTTGTATAATTGCTCTTATTGGTATTAATAGCGTCAAGATCTCCCTCAATTTTCAGAGTTCTTGTTCTGATTAATTGTTGTTTTTTGTAGATTGCATATATTTCCTTAAATGAGTTTCCATTGCTTTCCAATAGATTCGTTTGATATGAATTTTGGACAGGATTCGTTTCTGAAAGAAATTCAGTTTTAAATTGTTGTAAATTATCTATTCGTTTAAAAGAGAATTTTCTCCAAAGTTTCAAATTTCCAATTTTGTGATGTTTCGAATAAATTTTACAATTTTCCACTGCACTTTCTTGTATCAAACCATGTTCTCCTATCCATAAATAATCTGAATTTGCAACCTTATTAAAATATCGATTCACACTAGAAGAAATCAATAAACTCTTTCGATCTAAATATTCGAATATCTTTAAAATAATTGGAAATTACAATTTAAATATAAACTCACATGAAGAAGATCATCAAATGGAAGATCATTTACATTAGTTTTGTTTCTTGCCATTTCTATCAATTCCATTCCATTCCGATAGTTTAAACAACTTTCGTCCACTTTCAAAACAGCATTTAAATCCACAAACACTTCATTTTGCATTTTTTTAGATCAAATACCAAATTGACCAATCTTTGTTCCAAAGTTCAATATTAAATAACTAACCCCAGTTGACCAAAAGCACACATTCAACAATCCCTCCAAAACACTTTCCCTCCAAAATCAAAATCTACAGCTTTTTCAAATTTGAAAAAAAAGAAAACTCTCCGATGAGCGAATTGCCTAGAATGAATTATTCTTGTTTTTAGAATGCTTGCACTATTAGTGTAGCGTCCTTTCTAGTATCCTATAGGATCATTGTAATAAATGGATTTTCTAACAATGATGACAATGCAATATGGAGTTCGTATAGAAGACATAGAATATCTTTTTGATGATTCGTTGCTTCTCTCCCAACACAATTATGTGTATTTTAAAAGGTTGAATGAAAACCATTCCACTAGCCTTTAATATCCCTCATCAATACAATTTTTGCCTTTTCCTTGCTTGTTAAGAACATTCCGAAAGATGACACAGTGCGATAATCATACAATCATGCAGCCTTTCATCAAACAGGAGGATAATGTTGTAGTAGCCTCTTCAAGCAGTTCTCGTGATAAACAAGATGAAAAAAATTTACATATTGAGGGGATTGCTTGGTTTGCTGGTCATTGTCGGTGTATTGCAGTTTAGTCATCTGTGGTGGATTCCATTGATGAAGGCTCTTTCTACGCGACTGAAGGAATCTACTACGACAACATTGAATAATCTTCGATTAGTATTGGTTGATAGTGTTGGAAAATCCTACGACCAACCACATCAGGAAGTTTCTAATGATGATGAAATAATTAGGGAGGATGGGGACGAAACAGTGTCATCATTATACAAAAATTTAAAATTGCCTACTATTGATGCTAATTCGGAATCATATACACAGCTGGTTCCATTGGTGCCAACACCATTTCCTGTGGAGAGTGTTTATAATTCGTCCAAATATTCGAAATTGGAAAATATGCAACAATCGGAATGCTGGTCTTTTACAGAGGATATTATGTATTCTCAACCACTAGAGAGGAGGGGAGTTATTCAAATTCCTGCCAGTGTAACTTCAAAGGATATGCTAAACTTGTGGAAAGACTTTTCGCCCTCGGAAGTGAGAGCAGTCCTGACACCAAACATGATTGAATTGAGTGATGATAAAACGATACAGGGTAAAATGCATTTGGCTCCAATTATTGAAAATTCACATATTCAAGAAACTGATTTGGAGGAGTTTTATCGAGAAAATTATCCAATGTTTAAAGTAATGTCAACAATTTCGGATGCTATGGATACAACTCTAGATCGTTGGAAAAGAGATATGAATGAAAAGCATTTCGTTTTAAATGCACACAAATTCAATGAAAATCAGAAAGAGGATCATTTACCAATTTGGATGAGAGCCTATCAGAGAACTACACCATTAAATCAAGTTCTGAAAGCTCTATGCCAAGTTACAAATATTGAGGAAACGATATTAATCGTCACAATTGATGGTGACAAGTTTTTGCCAGTTATTGAGGAATTATTGAAGTATGATTGTGTCAAGATGAGAATTTATTTTCACTCGTTCAAGCATACTTCTCAAAATTTTGTAAAGGACAAGAAATTATACGCAAAAGCAATAATTAAGCAGAGTTTCAAGTTATTTGCACATGCCAGTTATGGATTATATTTGTGTTTAATCAAGTTCAAGTATCCTTATGTGATAACAATTGAGGATGACATTAAGCCATTACCTGATTTTTACAATTATCATAGAAGCTTGTACAGGTTGACTCTATCTGAAAAGAGTCCCTTCCTTTCAGTATTGGTTAGTCCAGGTGGTATCAATCTCATTTGCAATTTCGTTAACACATTACTGCATGATGCTGGTATTATTGAAAATATGCCATATGATAGCATGGGATTGAAACATCAAGTGTGTAGTGTTGATGATGTTGACCACGTGGTGCCAGAAGTTTATCATACCATTTGGGGATCTGGAATTTCCTATCGATTATTCAGAAGAATGTGGTTTACTTGGTTTAGACTTCCGAATCGATTTGACTTTTTCTTGGGAACAATGATGAGAGATTTGAGGAAAAAGAATGAGAGAAACATTATACCATGCTCTCCTCGAGTTCAACAAATTGCGAATGCTGGTATGAATGGCGGATTTACAAGAAATGCTAGAATTTGGGAGATACTTGGACCATATGCAACAAAGAGACAGTCAGAGGATGTTGTAAAGCAGTGGTCTTGTCGTAAAAGACAATACACAATGTTGGTAACAGATGGATTTGTGACTGATTATTTGGAATCATAAGGATGACATAAAATTTCGGTTTGAATTTAATTGAATTAGGTCACTAATTTGAAAGAAGAGAGCTAAATAATTAGTGAAAACTTTACATTTTTATAGAGAAAGCACTGAATAAATAAGCATTCCTGACAGTGTCATTGAAATACCAATAATATTCACTGAAGTAACTCCTCCTTGATGAAGGAAACATAAACTCACAACTACAACCAATACTTGTTTGAGATTTGCTGACAAACTCATGGTAAGCGGACTTGTCATCTTGTTAGCAATGAAATTAGTCGTGTTTAAAAAGAATGACATTATAGAGGTCAATATCACAGCCAAAACTCCATACAATGTCACTTTGTGATATTCACTCATAAATCTAACCAATTCTCCATTCACAATCGTTATCATAAGCATTCCTAATGAAGCATATGGAGCAACATAGTTCATTAAAACAAGTGGTGATATTTTGTGACTTTTCAACGACAAGTTTGTGAGAACTGTCTTTAAAGCAGCAAATAAATTTCCAATCATGAGAATAATGACATCAGTCATGTTAATTTCCAAATTATTTACAATTGACATGATCACTCCTGCAATTACAAGTGAAACAATTGCCAATTTATGAATGCTGGTGGTCGTTCCAACAATCAAATAGCTCAAAACCATGACAAAAAGAGGAGTAGTACTTCTCACAATCTATTTTCCATTCAATTAACCTCAAAATACATTAAATCTAACTACTAACCTGTGACATGTGTAATGATGTTCTAAAAATTCCAATATTTCCATAAACGATATTCAAAATAAACACTACAATATAGAGCCACATGTGTTTTTTAGCCTCAGCTTTAATTTCCACTTCTGCAGAAGCATCATTACGATTTTGATATCTCAATGAAATGAATGCTAATAACCACGAAGCCAACATGTGAAAAAGTGATAAAATTGTTGGAAAACTAAACCCTTGCCAATATACGATTTTGTTTCCGAAAGCTATTGTTATATTCAATGAAAACCATGTGAACACCCACAATCCTCCAATGATATTATATTTAGACAAGGCTTGTAAAATGTCAAACTCTGTCTGTTTAGTTTCGTTGGTCTCCTCATCATTGGAAAGGCCTTTCGTATAGAATTGATTCGACTGTTGCTGCTGTATTGGATCCTCGTTAATTGTTGGTGATGGGTTGTATGTTGGTAGGCTAGTTGTTGATGATGATATTAAATTCGCTGTCATGTAGTATAAAAAGGTTGTTGATGTATTTTTTTTGAAAGCTTTCGAATAGATTTTCATTCAATTTTCATGTAAACACGCTCCTCACTGTATTTAAACGGATGTTCCACGCATGAACTTCTTTCTAGGTCAATCCTATCATAACATTTACATGGAATATAGCCTCCTTGTTAAGTAAATTGGACATTTAGCAAGGAAGATATCTAAAGAGTTATTTACAATAGTTTACAATAACATACAACACGCAACTACAAATAATTGTAGTTTAGTTTTGTATTATGATCCCAACCCTTTGCTAAAACACATGTTACCGCCAGATACAATCATTGTTTCACTTGTCATCGATAGTTGTAGTAGGATTGCATTTCAAAATATCATCCATCATATGATTTACAATTAAAAAATTGCTTTATTGGTAATCGTTGAAATATATATCCTGAATCTCTTCCACATCCAAATGTAGATGACAATTCTCCCAGTTAATTTCTTGTTGTAGTGGTAAATTCATTGATTCGTTGTTTTGACTTAATAGGACTCCAAAATCAATCAAGTTGTTTGTAGTAGCATTTGGTGTGGCAAACATTGGAAAAGGTGGTCCTGCTGCTGGACAATTTGGATTCATGAATGAGAAGGGCGGGTTTACATTAAAAGGAGGTGAATATTCAACATGTTGCTGGTTTGTTGAATCACATGATTGAGAATGGGGATATCTGGCAAGAATGCATTCCATTTCTTTTAGCATTTCACCATGGAGAAGAGATACTTTCTTGAAACGTTTTGCCATAATTGTGAGTGTTCTGTAATCTTTTGCAAGTATTGGCAAATAGTCCCCTATCATGAAATCCTCCTTTTCATTTGGATGATCAGGAACAATTCTTACTTTTTGATGATTTGTCATTACTCAAGTTAATCATTGCAGAGGCTAAGTGTGGGATAATTTGTGGATTGGTAAACGTGATAAGGTCATTCTCTGAACAAAGAGTAATCTTCAAGGCACGCTCTTGTATTCAGGGAAGGTCTCTATTAACATTAATAAGTATTCTCAACTTGATTCCATTCAATACAACCGAGGCAGTGGACTTGAATAGTTTTTGATTTGAAATATTCGTTTGTTTTAACTGGTTTGCCAACATTGTCAGAAGTATTTCAAGAATATTCATATTAGACATCAAGATATTTCATCTGGGATCTTTGTACACAACACTTTTTCAATATTTTGAGACATTATTTGGAGCACTGAAGATAATTCTGAGTCATAGCAACCAATACTACAATATCCTGTGTTTGTAAGTTTTTGAAATCTTCATCTGTTGGTTGATTTTCTTCTTCTCTTATCTTTAGACTTGGACAAAAATTCCTCAAACTTTTTCCTCTCAAATAAATAGAGACCATTTCCCATTACATTATGATAAATCTAGAACTTGTCTCTTATCCAAATGTTTGGTTTTAGTGTTGCTGGTTGGATAGGGATCTGACTCTGTTCTAAGAACATTAGATATCAACTTGGTAGTGCTGAATGCAACTTTCTCATTATTATTGGTATTGGTCGGGGAAGGTGTTGATTGTTGTTGTGGAGATTTATCACACTTCTTTGATGATCTTCCCTTCCTACGAGGTTCAACATAGATACATTCCAAGCCATGAATAACACATCTAGAACAGAATGGCAACTTTTTGTCCTATTTTTGAATATTAGTGATTAGATGGAACAATGTTAACTACTTACACACTTCTTATGTACACGTCTCCAGTTTAAACAAGAGATGGAGTGAACATTTTCATCTTCCGAGCTTGTTTTCTCCTCAGAAATAATATTATTAGTAATTTGTAAATGTTTTGTTGAACAGGCTGTTATGGGCCTTTTGAACTCTTGTTATTAAGCGAGGTAAAATTAATGTTCACATAATAATAACCAGTAGCTGTTAACAATATTTTCTGTTGTATTATTAGGTTGTTGTTGTTGTTGATTGGTATGACCAGTAGCATCTCCGTTGGTCATCATCATCATTTGGAAGAGAGGAGGTGCCTTAATTGCACATATCATTTCTTTAATGAATGGAGGAAGATGAGAAGGAATGACAAATCCTTCTGGTGATGCTGAAATTGTTGCATCGGATGTTTTCTGTTGTTGATTCTGTTCATGTTGCTGAATTTATTGTTGAATGAAGAGGAGGAACAAAACCCTGTGGTGGTGGCAATTCGTTAAATTTTATTCTGTTGTTTTTTTCATGAATCGAAAGCATTTTAGCTTGGGTGAATATAGAAAGGTCGCATATATAAGTGAGATGCTGATTGATTACGGTGCATTTGGTCCATGGTATTAAGATTACTGACCTTTGAGGAACTCAAGAAAATAAACTTTAATGGAAGAAGGTTTGTTGATCTATACTAAAAGAAACACTGCAGCGGCAGAATTCAAGCTATAATAAACCATTTAACAATAAATTAGGGGATATTAATATTGCTCAAGCAAAATGTGGAATGGTTATGGCTTGATTCTTAGCGCATTAATTCTTCCAATACCTTTTCACTGTTGGTAATCCTCTTGCTTTTCAGTCAGAGGTTGCTGCATTTACTTCTAATGCAATTTCTTCAACAAACAATTCGACTTCGTGGAGGTAAAATTTGTTTTGAAGAAAACAGAGTGGAATTGCATTCAACCCAAAGAATGGATACTTTTCATTTCAATTGAAGCTTGACTACTCCAATTAAATGGGAACAATCTCAATTTCTGTTTCGATTAAAAGATTAATGATGTGATAGTATTATAAAAAAGGAATAGAATTACATTAGAAAATCATTTTTTGGAAACATGTCAAGTTTGGATAAATTCTTGTCCAACACTAGCCACTTATACTCAAAATCTTTTTGTTGGTCATTTGAAAATTCAAAGCTCCCTTCTTCATCTCCCAATGTTGTTAGAAGCAATAGAAAAGGTCTTGCCATGACAAATTCTTTTCTTATTTCTGACCATTCATCGAGAAATTGCATTCCATAAATGCTTATCATTTCCAAGAAATTGCATTCCATAAATGCTTATCATTTCCAAATGCTGGAAATGTCCATCATTTATAACTTTCAAAACATTCAGTACATCTGCTGTTTGTGTATCATAGGATGATGAAACATTCTCTTTGAATTTCAATATTTTAAGATTTGGAAACACTTTTGAGAGTTTAAGTAAATACTCAAGGCTCAATACTGTTGTTTCCAATGTCAATTTTTCTACTTTAGAATGAATTTCCAATTCTTTTAAAACATCGAGCGTCAAGACACCTTCTACCTTAAAAGTTTTGACATTTGGTAACAACTTGAAAAACTTGGCAGCAATAATGGGATTACATAATGCGCTAATAGTACTAAGTGTAAAACTTTCAAGGGTATTCACGAATAATTCGAGAGTTTTTAGAGCATACCTGCAGACATAACCTTCATAGATATTAATCATAGAACCAGCACATTTAAGATTGGGTGTTACCAACTTTAAACTTTCAATAAATAAATGTTCATTCTCATAGATACTATCATACTCAATACCCAGTTCCAAAAATTCTAAATTAGGAAGAATACCACCCCCTAAATGTAGGTCTGCACAACTTTCAACCAAATCATCACCTCTTCTGTCCACTTTGAAAAATTTCAACTGTGGAAACTCTCCAATCTTACTCAAAAACTTTCCAGTAAATACTGCATTATTTTCAATTTCAAAATGAGTCAAGTGAGGAAGATTTTTAAAAACCTTATAAAGTGAATCATCAGATATATTTGAATTTCCCTTCAATTTGATTTTTTTCAATTTTTTGCACATTTCTGATATAAATACAATTAATTCGTCATCCCACTGTAATAAGCAACTCGTACTTTCAAGTCTTTCCAAGTTTGGGCTCAATTGCAATAAACCAGAAATGTAAGCTTTCATATAATCCTCACAATCAGACAAATCAATACGAAGTATTCTCAACTTGTTTAACATGATTGCTCTGAATCCATCACTGAGAGGTTCCACATTACCCACATGACGACGATGTAAGAGTAATTCTTCAATATTTTGCAAATAGTTCAAAGTTTTGAAGGGATTGTTGGAGACTAAACAAAGTTTCCTAACTTGAAATCCAACAGGTACTTGATCGACCACAGTCTCTTCAACAGTATTTCTTGTATCTTGATATTTGTTACTAAGTTTGATCCATTGTTGTGAGATTTTTGAATATTTATCCTCTTTTCTCAATGGAATGCTGAAAACATCATCAGCATCTTCAAATTCTGCGTAAAAAACTTTAGCCAATCGTTCAATTCCTCCTCTATTAGCCATTTCTTCAATTTCTTTCCTGATCGTCTTCTTCCCAACATCTAACCAAGAGTAGTGGGAGAGCATGCTTTCCAACGATCTGGAACTCCAATTTTCAACATTAAATTCTCTCGGATGAATGATACTCTCCACTAGATTGTAAATAGTGGAGTAAAGTTGTTTACACAGAGTGGCCAGAATTAAAATTTCACCCTTGTGAAGGAAGTTTAAAACAATACTCATTTCATCTTGTGTTAGGTGATGAATAGTGAGAGAGTTTGGTTTGTGTTTTTTGTGTGATTCCGATTCTTGGGTTGATGAATCAACAGGTTGAGATCGGTTTGACATTTTTTTGTGATGATGTTGATATTTGGCATATGTTGGAAGGATGATGTAATCATCTATTAATTAAATATCATCAATTTCCTAGTGATGGATTTTGGTCTGGATTTACAAAAAACCACCACTTGGCATTACAACAAAGCCTTGATAAAAATCAAGTCGCCAAGATGATGTAAAGACACCATGTCAATAAATCCAATCATCAAATTACTGCCTTCCACACTTAATGAGATATTGTAATTATTGTGAGCATGTAAGGTGAGTGTAGTTACTTACCCATTACTAGTTTAGATTTGAAATGATGTTGAATTCCGATTGAATATGAGGAATGGACTTGTTTCCGATTGTAAATTACAAAATAAAGTGAAAATATTCGGGTATGCTTAATAAGTGACGAGTTGTTAAAAATTTTCCATGCTCAAAAAATTATTCGAAATGTCTGGTAATAACAAGAAAGGAACTCCACAAAGGAAACAACACGCTGTATCATCTCCATCTCATCCTAAACAAAGAGTGGAAGTATTCAGCCCATCTGATTCATCTTCATCAGCTACCGACACAACAGCTAGAATTTATGCTGATGGTGATTCTACTACTACATATCAACAAAGCTAAGACCGTATCGCCAACCCTGAAAACCAAAATTCCGGTCTTGTATCTTCAGGTGCTGCTGCTCTCGCTAATGCTCTTAATCTTAAACAATCTGATTCGAACAACTATTTCGGTACTGGTAAAAGAGAGAGAGATTCTGAAGGTATTTCATTGAAAGAGTACCTACGTGATTGCTATCAATCAATCACTGGAGAATCAATTAATGACGAGTTATCTTCAGATGATATATTTGAGTTGATATTGTCAACTTCTAATGAACAATATTCAGCTGACTCTGAATTCAAGAATAGAATGGCTTTTCTACAAAGAGTGTTCAGAGAAGAAGTTGACGCCCCTGTTCCTGATGTCTATGGTGGAAAAGAATTTAGAAGTAAAGGTTATCCTTTACTACTTGCCCAATCTCATATTATTGTACAAGTTTGTAAAAGATTGAGAAATGGTAACTCTTTTGATTTAGTTGAATGGCTTCAAGCTATTGAATTCATCCATAATATTGCTGACTTAAATTGCATTGCCATTAAATTGGGTGCCGGTTCTGGTGGTTTTGAAGCTGCAAAGGAATTTGTCAATACTTATAAATCTGGTGGCACAATCGACAATATTACATCCAAACAACAACAAAAGGCCATTAAGAAAGGTGAGAAATTGAGAGAAGAAAGACCAAAGAAAAGTAGTGGCAACTTTCAAAAGAAAAGATTTTATCAACGGTCCAACCACTTCGTCCCATACAATAAACCAATCGATATTAATCTGCGCTCTTAAAACATCATTATTTATAAGACTTCATATACATCAATATATATCATTAGATAGGAAATGTTCACGGCTACATGCTGATATATAATTTTAATATTGGTTGCTATCAAATAATGGAGATAATCAACTCGTTTTACCTCAATATTTCTGTGTTTTTTGTTCTCTTGGGGGGGGCTTGGTAGATACGCAACCATTTGGCAAAAGGTGAAAAATCGCATAGGTTCAACTTAATTCTCTACAAAATGACGTTGGGATATTTGCATTTAATTCAGTAATTGTTGAGTATTTTGTATTTGAATTGGTGTTAAACTTGTTAATTTTCTATTGCTTAATAGCTGTGTTGAACAAGTGTGAAACTACCTTTAATTGCGGTGCGCACTTATTCCGATATCATTAAGATCATTAAGGAACAAGTAAATAATATTTATTAATATTATTTAGAAGGTGGAAGTGGTAATGTTTCTCACTCCACAAGTTATTTGCTTGTTGGCAATGCTAATAGCCATGGATCTGAAGCCATTATTTTGATAATCGCATTAATCAACTCCATTTTTAACCCTTTAAAATATTACGATTATCAAAATACAACGCTAAATAACTCTGCTTCCAAAACTATTCCGATGTATGAATCTATTTATCAACAAGATCATCAGGATAATCTTCAATGATTCTATAATTTAAGTAGATTGGTGGAGGTACCATCTCTTGATCATCAAGTTGAATCTTCCCCTCATCATTTGGTGAGGGAGCAACTTCTCCCTTCCATATCGTTTAATAAATTATTGTTATTATCATATAATGATACGATTCTTGTTGTTATTTGTTGTTAATTGTTGTTCTTAATAGAAACCGACAATTTTCCCTTAATAGTCATACAACCCCTTGGTTATTCATACGAATCATTTCTAGAAATTAAAGCTTTAGCACTGTTGGTTCAGTGGTTGTATGTTGGAGTGTCAATTAAGTGACGAGTGATCGATTCAAGGTGATTTTACTAACTTATTCATTATTACCACCTTATTTTTTAGATCTTCCTTAATACTTGACAATTTTAAAAGATATTGATACCACATATACAATACTACATATAAACAACTAGATGTCAATTTCAATTGATTTAGTCAAGTATTCATTGAGAAAGAGTATGATCTGTGACATGATGTATTGACAACTTTACAAACATTGATTTAAACACTATGGTTATTTAGAACAGTCCTATTAATTTGTAATAAATATACTATATTTCAATTTTCAATTGTTGACTTGATGTACTTAATTGACTTGTCTATTCTTAGGTTACTTAGTTGACTTGAAGATACTGAGCCATCAATTGAAACTTCTCAGATCCTCATCAAGAGGAGTGTATTCATATTTGATACTAGTATGATATTTGTAAACTGACTGAGATGGAGTGTAATCTTTTTTTTGAAATGTGACATTTTGAAAGATTGTTATTATTATCATATTGAATTCAATTCTAACTGTATGCAATTGATACCAGATGTATAATAATGTGATTAAACGTATTGGGTAAAGTTACAGAATGATTGGAATAACTTTCACTGAGATGGAGTGTTCACTAGGATATATATAATGTTGATATTGAACATTTACTGATTAATTTTATGAAAATAGTTTGAAATGTTTCTTAACTATTGTAGATGTATATTAATTGATATATAGACTATGTGGTATCAATTCTAGACTTATTATATGTAAAATGAGTGAGTTGGAGTATAATCTATGATATTATGTCAAATGTCTATAGTAAATTGATAGTGTTGACATCTCGACATCTACTGAACCAATATTCATGAAATTGATACCACATACTAATTAGAGTGTCTACATACCATGATATCAATTTCAGTTAAATTGGAGTTGTTTCTGGACCCTTCAGATTTCCATCCATTCTCCTGACAAATCACCATGTACTATCTACTGGATGCATTTCTTGAAATGAAAATATATAATTTGATGAAAGTCCACTTTATTTGAGATGTAGAACACGATATTATCATTTATTTTGAGATTGGTAACTTTGGGTTTGGTTCTACGAACCTCGGATACCTCTTACTCCAATCTCTTATTGATTTAAGATTTTGAAATTGTTTATTGTTGATACGAATCAGAAGCTTCTTATTGTGACAACACTTGATAGAAGAATGGGAAAGTGGTTGCATTAATTCAACATATTGAAAGTGAACAAGGTTCTCATCTCAAGATTTGGAACTCTTCTTCATGAAGAGGAGGTTATTGGGTGGTGACTAGAGAGAAACATTTCCTTGTAGCTTTTCTACTAGTAAATGATTAATTGACCAAGATGTTGACCTATAATATGGAAACACAATAAAATTCAATAATACTGATAAATACAGTAGTGAATATGAATGGTAATCATATATCACTGAAAAAATCATGATTGGATCCATTTTGAGACTTTTGGAAGTCAACTTGCATGGGGAGCTTTTGATGTGGTTAACACTTTTAAAGGGATCTGAATATTTTATTGGATAATATATGTCATCGTTTTACTTTATCACTAAATGTTGAATATCATGATGTTATGACCTATATTTCCAATTTGCGAAATGTTGCAATGTCAATGTTTAATTGAAATATTGCCATCATACCAATAATTGATTATATATTATAAAACTGATATTATACACTATTATTGATATATATATGAATATATAATTGAAAGATTTGGTTTTAGACATTTATTAATGACGTGGGTAGTTCACTAAGGTAGTAACTTTGTCATATGATAACTATCTAAGATGATATTGAAATCATTCCAAAATTGATTCGATGAGAGTATTTGATGATTATAACATGGTAGTATTGAATTGGTGTTGATTATTACCATTCATGACATGTAAGAATGTTACCTTTTTGTCAATTAGGACAGTAGCTTGACAGATAGTCCAATTATATAGATATTGATTTGTATCACTCAAATACGTTATGAACATCAATTATAAGAGTATTTGTATGATATTCTATCTTGTTGAACATCTTGATATTGACTTGTCATATTATCATGAGTAGTTAGTGACATGGTTAAATGGCATGAATACTGAATGATGTCCAAATGATTTGAAATTGATAGAAACCTCATTATATGATGTTAATAACATATTGTATCAATTTGGTATTGAATCTCATTGTCCTTAGGGTACTTCCCTATTGAGGTACCTTAATTGACCATCTCTATATTTAAATTGAGATATGATATTTATTTCAATTGTATCATTTTGTAAATGATGGATAAGTAGCCAAGTTGTGTATGATGTAGAATTGGTATAACATTATTTTCAACATTTACAAGTGCCAATTCTCATCATCTGTTGGACCAAAACAAAAAATTTTGTTATAGTGGTGGTTTTTTTACTAATATCCACATGTACAATATCGGAACAAGGAGATGCTCTATAGTTGTGCAGAATCATTCCACCAACAATAAGTTTTTGAAATATTCTTTTCTTAGTGAACTTTGCTTGCATCATAATTATTAAGGAATTGTTTCAAGTAGATGGAAAGTGTTCTAAAATTGCTGTAGATGGTAACATTCCGTTACAGCATAGTTAAATTCTAAGAAATGATTGAGATTTGCCATTTTTTCACAACTGTTATCTTTTAAACAATGGTTGTCATCCAACCCGATTAAAACTGTTTGAAATTGTTTCAAATG